GCATTTCGAGAGGGGGCTTTAGCCCCATAAGGCCCCTGGCTACGTCCTTGGAACATACTAACCCATCAGAGATATGTTATGTTTAGGGACAGCCAAAACATGCAAATGCATGCTTTGTATGCGGATATGCCTTGAAGTGAGAAGCCCAAAAATGGTGTTTTTACATAGGTCCGAGCACTTAAGGACCCGGTTCTTAATGCATATATTTGCATATTTCGGCCCTCCCGTGCATATTTGCATATTTGTGCATATTTTGGCAAATTTTCCATATTTTGGTCCATATTTCGGTATTTTTTGGTAAATTTTAGTAAAAATCGCCGAAAATTTTGAATTTTTCGGAATTTTTTTGGTAAAAAAATTTTTTATAAAAATTTTATAAAAAAATTTTTTCGAAAAATTTTTCGGAAAAATTTTCTTTTGTTAAATTTCTATGCAATAATCTTAATTCCATAAAATCTTTTAAGAATTTTCTTAAATTGCGGGTTTAAAAGCTAATTTCTTGTTTTTTGGCTTAAAATATTGATCTTTAAAGCATATTTTAACAATTTTTGGTGCATATTTCAGTGCATATTTTGGCAAATTTTGCATATATTGGTGCATATTTTGGGCTTTTTCGGTGCATATATATGCGCATATTTGGCGATTTTCCGTGCATATTTTGGCTGTCCCTAGTTATGTTAAAATTATCTACCTGAAATTCAAGTTTGTCATTTAATTCTCTCAAACAAGCACTCTCTCGTTGAGCGGTTAATATACGATTTTCTAATAAATTAACTCTATCTTCTTGTTCGTCTCTCTGTGCTTGTAACTAAATTTTTTAAATTATTTTTGAGTAAATTCATAAAAAATTTTTTTTGAAAACCTCTTGAAGTTGTTGTTCAGCTGAATTTGCTTGTTCTTTCGCTTGTCGAATTTCTTTTCCGGCATTGGATAATTCTGATTCGAGTTCAGCATTTCTAAACAAAAAATTAAAATATTTTCCTCTTTAAAAACCTAGAATTTAGTTCATTAGCCTGATTAATTGTTGTAGCCAATTCCTGTGACATTCTGTCCAGTTGTTCTTGCAATTCGAATAGTTTTGGAGACGTGCCTTTGTTAGATGAATTTATATGTTTTCCATCACCCTCTGCAATGTTGTTTTCATTCTGTTAAAAATGAATTTTTGGCAATCCAGGAGAATTGGGGTCCCTGCGGAAAAAAATCCTAAAAATAAGAAAAAGGATTTTTCTAATGTAAAAAAATATGCTGATTACGAATCTGAACTCGGATTTTGGAAAAGTCGAATCCCGAACCCGAAATTCGGATATTTGACATTTTGGGAAAATTTTCGAAAAATAAACAGAGCGTAAATTGGTCAAATAATATCTCATTCGAAAGAGCTAGTCGAGCTGAGTCGAATGACATCAAAATCATTGCAATTGATCAAGATCAGGCGAAGTTATGATACAAAAAACATAGGCCTACGTTGTTTGTTTTTTGTGGTATAACTTCGTCCGATCTTGTTCAATCACGGTAATTTTAGTGTCATTCGACTCAGCTTGAAGAGCTCTTTCGAATGAGGTATAATTTGCATATTCGAATTTTTCACCCCAAATCAGCTTGGTCCCCCCTATGGGTTTGCGATATTCGAGGACCTATATTCGGGTTCGGATTCGACTTTTTTAAAATCTGAGTTCAGATTCGTAATCAGCGTACTTTTTTACCCAAGAAAAATCATTTTTCTTATTTTTAAGATTTTTTCCCGCAGGGACCCCAATTCTCCTGGATTGCCGAATTTTTAATAAACGCAAAAATGAGAAAAGCGAATTTTTCTCTAGGTACTTATTTCTCTAACAATAAGAAATTTTTGGTAATTTCTTATTTAGAGAAATTTTTGGTAAAAATCTCAAAAAACACTCGAATTTTTAATTAAAAATTTAAAAAAATTAAAAAACCTCATTAATATTCTTCTTAGCTTCAGCGAGCGCTTTAGAAAGCTTGGATTTTAACGTCGCATTCTCTTCCACCTTTCCATTTAATTCAACTTCAAGAGATTGAACTCTTTCAATTGCTACTTTAAGGCGTTCCCTTACCTTTAAAAACAAAAAAATAAAATAATTATTTTTTAATTAAAAAAACTTTTTCTTCCAAAGCTTTGTGATGCTCAAACAAAGATTTCAAAGCTTTTAAAACTTCTACTTCAGAAGAAACAGAATTGTCCCTATTGATTTGAGAATGTCTTTTAACAACGGTAAAGCGCAACGATTTTTCATGTTTAGAAACAAGGCATTCAAGATGTTCTCTTAAAAAATTTTTTTAGAGAAAATAGACGATTGACATTAAAAAACTTAATTTCAAATATTTATATGTAAAATAGTGTTGCGCCCCGACCCCATTCCCGGAACAATTTTTCACATTTATCACCGACCCGAACCCCGCCCCGAAACAATTTGAAAATCCCGTACTCCGAAACCCTAATGTAAAACTAAAATTGGCAAGTGAAATCCAGCCCGAAAATAATATCAAAAGATATTTAATTTAAATACCCAAAGAAAATTATAATAAAAAGCAAGAGTATGCCGCTATGGTCTTGAACTTAAAAAGCTTATTGTTAGAAACACCCAAAGAAAAGAGGAATCCTTTGACCATAAAAAAGTAATTTTTAAAAAATTAAAAAACTCACAAAAGTAATCGAGTATTGTTACGTTCAGCTTTCAGTTCAACAATTTCTTCTTCTTTCTCATAAAGCTGTTCTCGGCAATGAGCTAATTCACGGGTAAGTGTTTGCACTTCCTTCAAAGTAAACAAAAATATGAAAAATTATTTAAAGAAATAACCGAGGGCAGGTCTTGTCTAGTTGTTTCTAATTGTCTTCTTAGAGAATCTCTTTCTCGAATTGCATCACGACAACGCTCATCTGCATCTTCTATCCGTTTTTGCATTCTGACAAGCTTAAAAATAAAAAATTTTCGCAGAATTTTAATATTATATTTCGTATAAAAACAAGGATTGAGACAAATCACTTTCCTAAAGGTTGGCTTCAGAATTTTTTCGGGGTGGGCAAGGGGGAATTTTCTGTGCCTAATTTTTGGCGGCGGACGCCAAATTTTTTGATTTTAGCGCCGTAGGCGAAAAGTTTGAGAATTTTAGAAGCCCGCAGGGTTTTAGAAGTCCCTACAAACGCCGTCTTAACCTTATATATTTTTCAAAAGTATCAAATTGAAATTAGCTATCCTTTTCACAAGCCTATAGAACCCCTCTATCTTGAAAAATAAAAACTAAAAAAAGAACCCCCAACCTGTTCCTGAAGTCTGTCCCTCTGTTCCAACATCTTAAAAATTAATTAGAATAAATCAGAAAATTAAAAACAAACTGAGATCATTAGAGGTTCCAATTTTGAATCATGAAGGGCTCTAATTGTGTCAGAAGAAGCCTCATCTGACTCCTCTCCACCAACTAAAGAGCTTCCCCCATCTTGTTGTTGTAATCTTTCATCAACATCTACTTCACTAACTGTTGGTGGAATATTAAAATTGTTCCAACTCATTCTTTTTATTGAAATTTTATTCCATTTTGTTGACGAATAAAATAATTTAAATTAATAAATATACAAAATTAGTTGTCTAAAAAGAATTAAAAAATTTTTAAAAAATTAGTAATATTCATGAACTAAACAGAAAATCTTGTAAAAAACAAAAATTGGCCCTGAAACTGTTGTGGTGTGGTGGCTACTATAAAAGCCTCACAAATTGTCAGTCCGTGTCTCCTAATAGTTATCCCATCCTTATTCTATTACTTCAATATTATTGTATTTCTTTTGTGTAATAAGCAAAAGAAGCAAACATGTTTTGTAGTAAATTTACTGCTAAAAAATTCTAGATCCGCAGAGAAGTTTAAAAATTTAAAAAAATTAGGAAATAACTAAAAAAAATTCATGATTTTTCAGAAAGTACTTATTTTCATCGACCATTTCGCTGCAATTCTCTGTTTGCATTAGAGAATACAAAGAATCTCCACTGGACATACGGGTTAAAAAAAGAGAAGACTAGCCATTAGAAAAGCAAAAGGGCCAAGGTTTTTGGCAGCGGTAAGTGTTAGGAATGCAACAGAAATAGAGTCCGTCTCTTCAATAAATTTAGTATGTTAGAATATATCGGTCTTTCAACCGCTTTTAAACTTAATGGCCACAAAAATATTTACTGAAAAGTAGCTTCACCCTTCCATTTCTATTACTTTTAAGAATCCATGAAACTAGCAAATATCAAAAAAAAATTAGTTAAGCTTTTAAAAGTTAACAGTAATTATCTCTACAGTTAGCAGAAAGGAGATCATCGAGATCAGTCTCACTTCATCTCATTCTTTTCTCAAAAAATTTTCAGAAATGTTCCTTTAAAGTTTAAACTAGGGTAGCTCCTCGATCCCCATACCCCGACCCAAAAGTCAACCCCGACCTCGAAACCCGACATGACCTCCCCGGCAAACCCCGATCCCCGACACCAAAGGCTTCGGGAGCTACCCTACTTTAAACTTTTAGATAAAAACCTGTTAAATATCTCATTCTTTATTACCCTTTATTGTTTATAGAGAAAATTTTTTTTAATATTAATTAATTTTATTTAAGTACTATGGCAGGAACCATGTATAAAAATAGAATGTATGTACTGATGTATGTTAAAACAGCGGGCTGAAAGATTTTTTGGAATATAGAAAAGAGATAGATACATACATGTTCGTAGAGAAAATTAAATACAAAATTAATTAAATTTAAAAGAAAAATATTAAATTGTTGTACTTACTTTTAGTAAATATAAAAAAATATTATTAAATAGAAAGTGCAAATTAGAAAAGTGATATAGTAACTAAATAAAGGAATTTTTTGTAATAATAAAGAGTGAGGTCCGCGTTTAAGAGGTTACGCTTTTAAAAAAGATTCTTTGATGCGTTTCTGTTATTTTTTGATTTTTATTAATTTTTATTAAATGTCCCCGTCTTTCTTTTATTTTAAATACTTCCTTCTTTTCTCATTTCATACACAATTCTTTAACAAACCCATTAATTCTCCAAAAATGACTAAAGAAATTTCAATTTATTTTTTAAAATTCAAAAATAATTTTCTCTTACCCAAAAACTTCCATAACTTGCATATTTTCATCATTTTGGTCAATGATGTTCTAAAAAAAGAATTAATTTTTGATTAAAAAAATTATTTTTTGACAATATTCTTTTTAGTTTTTATTTCCCAATTATTATTCATCATCACACGTCAAGGATGATTGTCTGATGACTAAAAACATCATTTTAAATAAAAAATGAAAGAAAATTTTTGGTGGGAAGGCCCTCTCTCACATTCTCCCCTCCTCTTGTCTTTAAATAAACATAAATTTGGTCGCTATATTTCTAGCAATTAAACAACAATTTTTAATGTTTTTTAATGTATATCCCCCTAATTTTTAAACCGTTTTCTAATCTTTTAATTTATTTAAAAAAGAAAAAGTTGCATTTTTTCCTCTTTATTCTTAGCATTTTTAAGGCATATCTCTCTCAAATTTTTACTCGAAAATTCTGTTCTTTTTTTCCTATTTTGATTTGTACATTTTGTCTCATATTAATTTAATCATTCCAGTTACTTATCTACTATTTAAATCTAGGCCAGACATTTATTTTTTGACTCATAAATCTAATCTAAACCAGACAACCACGCGCTACAATATTTTCATTCCCTTTCATTTGTTTCCTTTTCTCGCCTATTATATGCAAGTTTCCCTTATTACTTTTCTCTTTTCATTTGTTTAAATCATTTGATCGTTTTCAACCTTTATAGGCCAATAGAAAATTTTCTTTTCTCAGAACGAAAACAAAGAAAAAACTAACAAATATTGGGAAACACAAGCAATTCCCCTCCCTAATGGGTTTTATAGAAATGCAACTCTGAAACTATTTTCCCTCTCCAAACAATCATCTTTGATGTGTAAATGATGAAATTAATTTTTTTATTTCTTTATCTAGAGGTTTGACAAAAATGTCAAATAAATAATTTTTTGTTAAACGATTAAATTTTTGTTAAATTTTTTTGCCAAAAATTTAATGTAAAATTCCCTTCGCATTAACATAATGATTCCCATTTGCTCTACTTATTTTTTAAAAATCAAGAACTATTTTCTTTTCAACTACAAAAATTCACCTGAATTGATTGAGACATCATCAACATATTTCCATATTTTTGAACTCCAAAACTTGTATTGTGTCTTTCAACAATTATTTGGAAAAGAACGGTAAGATATTTTGTCCTTTCATTTCCAATATTTTCTCGAACTTCGTGAGAAAGATCTAGAGCGTCTAAAATGGAATTTTTTTAAAAGAATTAATTCAGAAATTTTTAAAATATGCCTGGGTTGAAGAAAAGACACGCTTTGAAACAAGCAAATTCCCGCATAGAAATTTCTAGTTTTCGAAACGGAATCATAATTTCTAAAGAATTAAAAAATAATTTAGACAAATTAATTATCAAATAGAGCTGTATTGAAATTTTTTCTGTTCAATTTTACAAAAAATTTAAATCTAAATCTTTCAAAAAATTATTAGAAAGACTCGAAATTTTTAGTAAATTTCAAATCCCAAATATTAATGCAAGAATTGGATTAATGAATCCACTCGAGTAGAGAAAACCCACTAGGTTTTAAAAGTACCCGCTATGGTGGAAAAACAAGGTTTTAGGACTTTAAAACAAAAAATAGGAGATCAAAACGAGACCAAAATTAAAAAAATATTGTTTAAAATCTAAAAAACTTTCAATACAGCTCTAATATTTTTAACAGACCATCCATTTGACGATGATATATTGATCGACCTAAATTAATTATATGAAATTTGGGATGATGTTCTGTTAATGGAAAACTTACATCCAGGTATTTTAACACTATCCTGGGGTTGTCTTAAAATATATGCGCCATTGGGATAAACAATTTTATCTGGACCGTAGTCCAATGAATAGAAAACTCTAAAAATATTTTTTTAATTAGAAGAGCTAAAAGAATGACTAAAACAAACCTGTTCAAGATGTTATAAGTGAATGCAAAATTTCGGACTAGCGAAAACTAAATTAAGAAAAATAGCTTTTAGAAAAAAAAAGATTTAGAATTTTTTGCTTAATTTGGGAAGGAGCGGGCCGAGGTAAAGCAGACAGACCCAAGGTACCACAGAACTATAACTTCGCTCAAAATTGTCAAATCCAAGGCTACAATCAAGAGCTCGGACAAATTCTCTGTCAAATATACATATCTCTTCAGGGCGCCAGTGTTATTGACCTCTCTCTCAATGCAAGAGACGCTGCAGTCAAAGAATGTTTGGAAAAAAATCGTTTGCTTGCTCTATTCCCAAACTATGCATATTTTGGTTCCGTGACTTTTGCGCCGAGAACATTTGCGCCGCGACTTATGCGCCGCGACTTTTGCGCCGCGACTTATGCGCCGAGCGACTTTTGCGCCGGGGGACTTTTGCGCCGCGACTTTTGCGCCGGGCGACGTTTGCGCCGCGACTTTTGCGCCGGACGACTTTTGCGCCGCCACTATCGTTAATAATTATGAAAAACTACAGCCGGATTTTACTACAGAAGATATAGAATAGTTGGAGATCTTCAGATATCAAGATCCGGATCCGATATCCGACCTAAAATTTTCAGCTATCCGGCCTTTTTCAGATCCAGATATCAGGACCCGACAACCCTACACTATAGTGCACCCTCTTCTGGCAGAAAATCATGCCTGAATAGGGGTAGCAGACCAAATATCCTGATTTGAAAAAGTCAAGTTCTTTGAAGATGACCCCTCTAGGGGGTCAGTTTATTGGAGGGGGCTATTGTACTTACCGAAACTATTGTGCTTCCTGAAATTCCTTCAGCTCCTGGACCATTTTTTAAGAAGTACACTATAATTAGGTCCGACTGTAGATGTTATTTTTTAAAATTATGGCGGCGCAAATGTCGCGGCGCAAAAGTCGCCCGGCGCGAAAGTCGCGGCGCAAAAGTCGCCCGGCGCATAAGTCGCGGCGCAAAAGTCGCGGCGCAAAAGTCGCCCGGCGCATAAGTCGCGGCGCAAAAGTCGCGGCGCAAATGTTCCCGGCGCAAAAGTCGTGATACCCATATTTTTATGCGTCTCTTGCATTGAAAGAGAGGTCAATAACACAGGCGTCCTGAAGAGAGATATGTATACCTACATATATTTGACAGAATTTGTCCAATCTCTACAATCCCGCTTAATATAAAAACAAACTTGGTCATTGTCAGAAAGTCGTTGAAATTCATCAAAAGTCTTAGCCCATTCCAAACAAAGCCTGAGCTCCCTAATATTCCACATTTGGATATCATTCATGGAAGCTAGAAATTAAGGTTTATAAAAATATTTAATTTAAAATAAACCTGGATAAAGGTCTTTAAAAATTGTATTGACCTTAAAAATAAAATAATTAAAAATAAAAAGATTTTTAATTAAAACATCTTTTCGTAAGTTTTGTGCTTGAAAAAGTAATGAAGGCTGTGTCAATGTTTCTCTCACACCTTTGCTTTCTTCAAGACAGCAATTGCGAAGAACATTACAAAGGTTTTCTCTAAAATAATTATGAATTTTAAATTTTTTTAAAAGTAATGGCAATGATGAGGTGTTCTGAATATTTAATGAGGAATTGTATGTTAAAGGTTTGTAGGGTACAAGGGTGTAGCCAGTTCGGGGGAGAGGCTATAGCATCTTTCGCTTTTCTAGCGCGAAGTTTCGCATTTCACTTTTTATTTTTTTAAAGTTTCGCATTTTATTTTTTAATTTCGCCCAGCCATGCTATAGCCCCTTCTGAATGAACCAGAAGCCTCCCTGGCTACGTTCTTGGTAGGATAGAAAGAAATTTGTAGCCTTGATTTGCATCCAGATATTAACAAACGGGGATTCATTCAGTGAGTTCGAATCTCAACTCGTAAGCCGGACATTGGAAACTAGAAATTTTCCCAACATATCAAAATTTTTGAATGAACACAAATCAAAGCCGTTTTTTACTTCTCCCAAAAACAAAAAATATATACATTGCAACAATATGTTCCAACAATTTCCCGTCTTGTTGTCTCATTTGTGGTGATAAAGAAGCCACAGAAAGTTGATCCTCATCGACAGAACTGCGTTTTCTACCCTCAACAGCCCCGCCAGAAGATAAACGCATCTTCTTTGTTGGGCCAATTCTTTTAAAAATTAAAAATAGTTAATGAATAAACTATTAAAATACCTGTCTCGATCATTTTGTATGGCTCTGGCGTCCATCCCGACGGCAACACATTTTTGAAACCTAAAAATTGAAAAGGAATATCCAAACATGATTTTAAAATTAATGAAAAATACTGGTATTAGTTAACATTTATGAGGCCCTTTTACTTTTCCGCCTAAAGTCTTAAACTGCCTTTTAGTGGAAAGACCTCTCATTTTGCGAGTTAGGGTAAAAAGAGAGACACAATCTTAAGTTAACTGAGTACCCGCAAAATTCCTGATTTATTCTTGGAATTTAGCTTATTTTTAATTAATCAGATTTCCATTTCTAGAAAAGAAAATTTTAAAAACCTGCAATGCCTGCAAGCACATCTAACATTTCTAGTAACATCACAACTTCCATTATATTGACAAACTAAAAGAGCTAAATTTCTATCAAATAATTAATTAACCAACTACCAAAACTATGTTCAGAAACTATTGTCCTTCGGAAAAATGTTTTACAACCATTACAACTTGCAACACCATAATGATAGCCTGTTGCTTTGTCTAAAAATTTTTGGAAAAATGAAGACCAGTTTACTAATAAAAACAGTTGGACATAAACATCAAAAATTAAAACCATGGACTGGTGTTAATTAATTTCCTAGATTATATCTAATCTGAAGGATAATTGAGTATTGAGGGACAGAAAAAGAGAAATTGGACGAGCAACAAAAAATATAAAAATGTAAGTGTATGGTAGCACCCCGAGCCTTCGGGGTCGGGAGTGTCGGATTTCGGGGTTTGCCGGGATAGAGCCTTTCGGGTCGGGTTTCGGGGGACGGGGTGCTACCCTATATAAACGTATTAATAAAACACTTACCCGAACATACAGCACACAGTTCGCCATCAGGAACTTTTCTTCCTAAAGAAATAAATAGAGCAAACTAAAATTCTTTTAATGATCAAAAAAAGAATGTGTTGATCTTTTGGGTAAACACGATAAAATTAGTTTTATTAAAGAGTAAAGAATAATAGCAAGTGTTCCAATTAACATTATTAAAAACCCAAATTTAAAAATCCCCTCTTACTTTGTCTAGGTTGTAACCTTCCATTACATCCAGAGGACCCCATTCCTCCACCAACACTACTAGAACTACTTCCAGAGCTTTGCTGTTGTTGTTGATTACTCGCAAGAAGCATTGTAGAAAGAGGAGTTCCGAGAAATAAAGAACTTGGACCCGCTGTAGTTGAAGACGATGATTGAATATTTGAATGCATAAGTGCAGCTAATGAAGAATTGTTAATTCCATTAGTTACCAATGATGTCCCATTTCCAAATATAGGGGTAGGTTTAGGTGGTTCAATGTCATCAACCATCATTTTGCTTTTTCAAAAAAACTCCAATTTTGGAGTAGAAAAATGTACAAGACAGAATTTAATGTGCCTGATTTTTATCTAAATTAATAGAAAATTTGTGTACATTGCCGCTGCTTATTTTCCCATATTTTATTTTAGTAATTGATTTTTTAAAGAGCAAAGACTAATTTACAAAAGGTTATTTTTTAAATTTTGGATGACCGTTTCGGCGCACCCTATTTTGACGTGAAGCGTATTCTCTACTACAAATTTGCTACCAAATTTTTATTTGGCAATCTTTGCGAGTATTTTTTTTTTAATTTCGAAAGCTGCTTATTTGTTAATTTTCTTTCTCAAATGATTAATTTTCACAATTCTTTCATCATGTGAAAATTTGCAGCCAAATAAGCGATTAAAGTGTAATTGGCGCCAAATCGAAAAAGGCGCCAAGACGACCCCCAACAATTTATAAAAAACATTTTCTGGCTACTCACTTGTTATTTAACGGACTTTGTTCTATGCCGCCAATGGTTGTTAAAAATAATACGGAAGTTTTGTCTCTTTTGCGGCTCCGTTTTGACTGTTTAGAGTTTTACTGTTTTTAATTAATTGTATTGTAAAATTAATGTACTATTTATTTTAGTTGTTAATTAAAAAAATAAAGAAAAAGTAGAAACCAGCTGACGCCTATAAAAAATAGTTAGCGATATAAAAAATCAATTTTTCTCTCGTGTTAACGCTGGCAACTGAATTTTTGATTAAATATAAGAGTAATTAAATTTAAATATAATTTTTTAGTAGACTCTACATAATTTAGTTAATGCGTTAAATTAATTTTGAATTTTTTTAAATTTTAAAAGCTGCCATTATGCAAATATGCCATTAAAAATAAACAAAATAAAAATAATCGATAGAAAATAAACCTACAGGGTGACAAAAAAGTAACCGGGCACTTTTCTATCCTTTATAACTTTTTTTGTTCATATCATTTTTAGATAATTCCAAGCTTATTTTGTAGCCCAGTTATTTCTCTCTATTATATAGTAAAATTAAAAAATTTTTGATTAAGGATTAAGAAAGTTATGTAATTTTAGGTACACCATATCAAAATTTTCCCCCTAAAATTTTATTTTCTGTATCTCAGAAAGGAGAAGTCCAAACGGGATGATCTCAACAGAATTTAATTAAGATCATTAGCGAACCGGACAAATCCGAAAGATGAAAATTCCAACTCCTACATGGATGGCTCTGAATAGATGCAAATCAGTTTTGGGGGGAATGCGATTTTCTCATTTCGGGAGGGTTACGCGCAATCGAATATCTCTTTAAGCTTTAATCTGAAAAATTTTTTGCTTTATAATTTCTATAGATAAAAGACTGCTCTAGATGCCAGAAAAAATTTTGTGTAATTACTGCAATCTATTCTAATGTTATAGACAAAATGTCTCAAAAAAAGGTGCGACCTGGAGCAATAATTTTTCGCACTTTCCTTTAACCTTATCTCAAAGTAGAATAGGGAAAATTCTAAAAGATTTTTATATCTTATTCTCTATTTATTTCTCTATAATTTCATCATCATTTGATCTCATTATCTTTAATTTGAAAAAAGTTATACCAAAAATAAAGTGCCCGGTTACTTTTTTGTCACCCTGTAGAAAAAATCCAAATTTACATGTCTGTCTGTAAAAATACCAAAGAAATTAATAACGGAAAAATTCGAAATAAAAAGATTTTTTATAGAAAATGAGGGAATTTTTTAGAAATTTGTTCGAAAGAAAATCGCTAAATACAGTGCCGGAAAAAAATTTTTTGGGAAAATTTTTGTCGGTAAATTATCTTGATATTTATACTCATTTTAAAGAGCATTTAAAGATCTACAATTTTAGTGATGAAACTTTTTTTCTACAAGTTAACCGAAAAGAGATAATCGATAAAAACTAAATTAACAGCCTAAGTCCTATCTTTTTTTCCGTGGCGCGAACTTTGCGGACCCGAATTTTGCGGACCCGAACTTTGCGGACCCGAAATTTGCGGAACGAAATTTGCGGACCCGAAGGTTGCGGACACGAAGTTTGCGGACCTGATGTTTGCGGAACCAAGATTTTAGGACAGACAATTGAGTAAAAAGGAAAAATTAAAAATTTTATTTTTCGAGGATTCCGGCAGAGTTTAGCATGATCCGTACCAGATCAAGATTTTTTCTTGATTTTTCAAAATTTTTATCAATTTTTTATCTTAAAATTATTTCATAATTTAAATAATCAAGAAAATTCCATAAGAAAATCATTTATATGGCCATTTCATAAAATCATGATGCCTGAATTTATCCTAATTAACGCCGCAGGCTAAAATTTTTGAAATTTCCGAGGTTCAGTAGACTCTATTGTCGGTCCGCAAATTTTTGGTCCGCAAATCTCAGATCCGCAAAATTCGGGTCCGCATAGTTCGGGTACGCAAAATTCGGGTCCGCAAAGTTCGGGTCCGCAAATTTCGGGTCCGCAAATTAAAATCCGCAAATTTCGGCGCGCCTTTTTTTCCGGCACTGTGTTTGACAAAAACGGAAAAAATCCGGGAATTCCTGTTGCTTTTTAAGAAAAAAAATTTAAATAGGAATTTGTCGATACTTGGTCATTGAAATTTAAACCTTCACCTCAAACAAAGGGAAAGACTGGGAAATATTTTTAGGGTTCTCCATCAATACACGTGTAGAAAATTTCCAAATTAAGCCTCAATTTATTACGTATACTAAAAAAATTTTAAATGCCGGCTGGCACGCTAAGATGATCTAAAAAACGCGATTTTTGGTGCTTTGTTGCGAGTATTATTGATTTTAAAAAGAAGAGAGTGTATGAACATATGCCTATAAAAAAAAGTGTGTAAACGGATAAAAAAAGGAGAAGACGAATTTCTTCTTTTCTTTTTCTCTTCCCCTAGTGACCTAGTAGTGACAGACGTTTTGCTATAAGGAAAGAATATATAAAAACGGAAAAGGAACATGTACATTTATACAAGAGAGAATGACTGTCTCTACTATGTACAAGCTAGAAAAGAAATAATAATTAAGGTATCCACAATTTTTGAATTTAAAATGACGAGAAGGAGAAAGATGTTCCCTTTTTTTCTCATTAAGCTGTAGAAGACAGTCGATATTATTTTTTTTCAACAATCTTTTTATATATAAACACATCTCAAAGCATGTTTCTATGCATGTTTACGAAATATCGCGCTAGCGACATTTCTTTTTTTCTTCTATTTAATTACCAATGGCAACTAAAAACTAACGAGGTCAAGAAAAGTAATAATACAGTGCGTCCGTAAATTATACGACCACTTGTATTTTTTGTCATATCTTATCTTTAACTTAACATTTTCGCTTCATTTCTTTTTTATATTAATCATTTATGTGTTCAGAATTCCTAGGCAAAATTTCATTTAAATATTCCCAACCATCCCTCAGAAAATTAAATTTAATTAAAAGTAGTCGTTTTTCAAGCGTCCGTAAATTATACGACCACCTTGGATAATCATGTTTTGGATAGTAGGAAAAATCCACAAAAATTCTGGTAAACATATCTATTGATATAGATAGAAAATACAAAAGAAACGGAGTTTTATTATAACTCCATACTCGAGATCTCGAAGCCCGAAAATCAACGGAAAACCGGGGTAAATGTCTTTGAAAAAATTTTTCGACCCCTTATAGGTTATATTAAATTTTGATTTTATACTTTTCTGAAAGCCCTTTAAATTTGCTATAATATCTGCAATTTTTATTTTACAGAAAATTTTTTTCATTAAGTTGTACTTCATTAAATTTCTAAGTTGCTAAGAAAGGGGGTAGATTTAATGGGGTAGATTTAATGATTTTCATGTCCATTGAATTTAACCTTCAATATCTCCCAAGTAAAATTTTTCAATTTATTAATAATAAGGATTTATTATAGCAAATTTAAAGGGCTTTCAGAAAAGTATAATATAAGAATTTAATATGGCCCTTAAGGGGTCGAAAATATTTTTTAAAGACGTTACCCCCCAGTTTTCCGTTGATTTTCGGGCTTCGAGATCTCGAGTATGGAGTTATAATAAAACTCCGTTTCTTTTGTATTTTCTATCTATATCAATAGATATGTTTACCAGAATTTTTGTGGATTTTTCCTACTATCCAAAACATGATTATCCAAGGTGGTCGTATAATTTACGGACGCTTGAAAAACGACTACTTTTAATTAAATTTAATTTTCTGAGGGATGGTTGGGAATATTTAAATGAAATTTTGCCTAGGAATTCTGAACACATAAATGATTAATATAAAAAAGAAATGAAGCGAAAATGTTAAGTTAAAGATAAGATATGACAAAAAATACAAGTGGTCGTATAATTTACGGACGCACTGTAGTTGATACTTTACGTGTATATTTTTTGTTGATAAATTTTAATTATTTCACATGGAGTATAAATTTTTATTTTTTAAAAATAAAGCTTGAGATGTACATAGTACAATTGAAGGTTTTTATTGAGGTGTAGAAGGCCAGCCTTTGGTGCAATAAACCGTAGCAGACGTCGAGTACAAATTTGAAAATTTTTTTGGGTTTCTGATTCTAACTTACATGTTTTATCAAAATATAACAAATATGACGAGACTACGATCAACAAGAATAGGTTTGAAGTGTAAAATTGTAAATTAAAAAATACTGCACCCAATCGACTGTAAATGAAGGCTGCCCAGTTTTTAGAAACTGTGAGACATTTTAGAGTTGTGCGACTGTCAGGTTCCGACAGTTGTGTTTTAAAGATGTGTTTTGTACCAGCTTAAGTTTTTGCATGTGCCACGTCTACTTCTATCTACTTATGGACAAATCGACTGTGTACCGAGACAAATACCCATTTAATTGAAAGAACCATCTCACTATACAAAAACATCAAGATTAGAAAAATTATCTGACTCGCTTCAAGTCGACGTGTTATTGTGCAGGTGTGTCTAGTATTTAAAACAAAATTTGATGTTTGAGTATTTTTAATTAAACACATTTAATTTACACATCGAATGGAACGATTTTATTTTTGCAAGCTTTAAATTATGTAAATTAAAATTCAATTTTACTTCCAAATAAACTAAATTTAAATAAATTTTCATTCTCTTTAAAACAAAAATACTCAAACGTCCCTTTCAGCTGCTTAATCTACCAGTCAGCAGACTTTTTTGCTTTGCTCAAAAAATATCCCTTACTCATCCTGAGAAATTAAATCGATTTAAAGTAGCAGAAAAGCTAGTAAGTACTTGATATACGTATTTGTTAGTTTTTTTTTTAATATCTTTTCATTTATAAAATTATACGGATTTATTTGTGTGTAGGTGTATTTTTATATGAAAAATAGCTTTTCTTAAAGGAGATTATTTTAAATAAATTTAAAAAGTCTTTAATTTTTTTCTGAATATTTTTATTCAAAAATGAAAATTGATTTTCTTTTTTTCTTTAATTTTTTATTTTCTCTGTGCAACTTAAAATAATTTTTGCATCACTTAAAAAAATTTTTTAATGAAAATTTTCTTATTTTTTAATTAGCTCCACTCAAATTTTCTTGGGGGTTTTTTTCTAGAGGTCGGTAAAATCGCATTCCAGGGATCCCGTAACGGGATTTTTTTTCAGAAATTTTTGCGGGACAGGATCCCGCGGGAATCCCGTAAATTCTGATAATCCCATTCGTCGCTTAAAATACGGGATTTCGGGACAGGATCCCGTAAAATCCCGTACGGGATCCCGTCCCGTGCCGACTTCTATTTTTATCATTAGAATATCAAAAATCTTTTCTAAATAATTATTAACCGATTATCAGAGCACTTTTAGGTTAAAATCACAATAATTTTTATTGTCTCGTTTACTAACTACATAAACTACACTTGTATTTTTGTATCTTTTTCTAATAAAATTGTGAAAACGTCTAATTTCTACTTTATTTAAATTATTTTTTAGAGTTACCCTTTTGATCCCCAATTTATTAATTTTTGGTCAAAATATTTTATTCAGAATTCTAAATTAATTTTTAGGCCCTCACTTTTGAAATTTTTGTTATTTTAATTTCGACTTTTTAATCATAAATGAGTTCAATTAGAGAGTGGATTAAAGAAGGGTAAACAATATTTTAGTTTCGGTTCGATCGTTAGTTACAAACTTTTAAGTTGATTTTTCTTGAAATATGTTTAAATTTTAAATTTTATTTTCAAATTACGTCAGAATGATTTTTACAAAATTTTGTATAATTTTTTAAAATTAAAATTAAATTATTTTCTTTTAATTTTCAGATTCTAATTAAACATTTAAATTTAAAAAAATACAAAAATGTTGGCTCCAATAGTAACAAAAGATATGAAATTATTTCCTTCACAGCCATTACCGGCACGAATTAAAAATGGTTTTTTTTAATTTATTTTTCTAAAAATATTTTTAATTTTTTAGTCCGTTCTAGAGCCCAAAGTTTGCAAGATTTTGCTAATGGAAATGCAATACACGTGGTAATTAAATTTTTTATTTTAATTAATTTTGGTCAAATCCCATCACATTATCTGAATTTTACACTCACAAATTTTTTTCGGTGTTAAATACAAATACATAAATTGTAGAAATTAATTTTTGGGTTCATCTTTTACTATAATAAATTTTTTGTGAAAATTTTCCTTCTCATTTTAAGTTTTTTATTATTCAAGAAAAAATAACAATGTAGCTTTGGCAATGTCCAAAATTTATTTTTCCTTGTTATTGGGATATTTCTGATTTTTTTGATAGAGAATGGTATTCCCTCCCCTATTTTTTTAAAAATAAGATTTATTGTCGATTGCCGGTCCACGAGAAAACTTTCGACATTTTTCGGGTTTTCCAGTGACTAATAGTCTTCACTTCTACCTCAGTTTCATGTTTATTTCGAATATAAATATTTTTTAAATAATTAAATAAAAAATATTTTTAATTAAAGACTTCCTCGTCAGCAGTTTCTTCAAATACCCATTTAGTCATTACGGCAAATGCTGCTAGAGCAAGAAATTCTCAAAGTATTGGAAGTCTTCCAACAAATTCAGTTCTCGCTACTTCTTTTCAAAACGCTCAAACAAACAATGCTGTTATGGTTATTCCTTCTGCTAAAACACCTCCAAAATATTCTACAAGTTCAGGTTAATTTAATTTTTTGATTTAAATAACAATTTGATATTTTGATTCCATTTTCAAAACAAATTAAACCCAATTGAATCTCGCTAGTTAGTGTCCTTCACGCACCACTTCCTTCCCTTGATACGTCACCTTAACTCGGTCCTGGAAGGGATCTTGTCTTGATTTGCCTCTCCTTTAATATCATCTTCCCTCGTATATCAGCTAATTTTAAGTTAGGTGCCTAAGTGTCGTGTTCGAGAAATATTTCTTTTTTTCCTACAAAGGTAATATTACTCAAGGTAATGAAAATAGCAGATTTGTGATTAGAATGTGTCTTTAATATGATAACCCACTTTATCAAAAATGATTTTTAAAATATTTAAGGGGTTTATATTTTTGTCCTTATAATAAAATTAACAATTTAAAGTTTTTAAATCAATTTCAGCTTCATTACGCAAACCATTGGATGCAATTGTTGAAGGTTTTTATAATATTTTTAGTATTTTAATTGTAAAATAAAAACATTTAAAGGCGTTGAATTATCTGCTCAAAGTTCTTCAATTGCCCAAGATTCATCATCTAAAGATCAAAAAACAACAAAAATTCAAAATAAAAAAATTAAAAGTTCGGATATCCAATCTCCAAGTAAAAGTGAAACAACAAAAACAATTAAAACTTCAAAACCTTTTACACATCGATCAAGTCATGACGATGTTTTGTCATCTTCTAATAAGACTAATACAAAAGAAGAAAAGAAATCAAAGAGAACTCAAAGTGTTGAACGGGAAAGGAAGAAGAAAGGTTGGAAAATTGAAATTTTTTTTGTAAAAGGATTCTTGAGGATTTTAATTTCAGAGGGGTGGGATAAAGTGTCACCTATAATTTAGAAGCCTGGTATTTTTGTCCTGTTAATGAATAATAGTCAGTTAGTTATCACAGCAAATGCTGCTTTTATTTTGATTTTTAGATAGAAAAACGTTTCCTCAAATAATTTTTTTGTTGGGGGGAAGGGGGTGGAAAATAAAAAAATCTTTTCCTTGTTTTTTTTGCATATAGTGTCACCCATATATTTAATAAAAATTAAATTTTTATTACCTTCAAAAATTTTCGAAAAAATTTTTTAACTTTTTGCCTAAGTATCAAATTAAAATCCATTCCCCATAAGTTGGATTCGAACCCGCAACCATTCCTTTACGAATGCAGCGCTATCCAACTGCACCACAGACCGTCAATTGATTAAGCTATATTTTTCCACTTTGTTCCCGTCGTTTCCTCAAATAATTTTTTTTCAAAATCATTCAAATAAATCTTTCTTTCGTCATACGCCCTCTTTTTTTTTCTAATTAAAAATTTATTTTCTTATTTTAGAAGGTAAAAGCGGTAATTCCTCATCAATAACTGGATGTTTTGCCATGTGGTTAAATTCAAAGTTCCGGAAGAATGGAGGGGGGAATAATGATGGTAATAGTAATACTTCAACTAAAACAACACCTGAACCTTTAATAGATGGTGGAGGGGAAAGCACGAGTAGATGATAGAGGGAAGGGGAATGAAAAAAAAGAAAAATTAAAAATTTTTTTTTGTTTTTGGGGGGTGAAAAATTAAAAAAGAAATTTTTTTCCTTGTTTTTTGCTTTATTTTTTAAAAATAATTGTTTTCCTTTGACTGAATTAACTCAAAAATAATTTTTTTCCTTTATATTTGTAAATACATAAGTGAAGCATTTAAAATTTTTTATAAGCGGGGAAAGTATTAATCTTACAATAAAATTTTTATTTTTTAAAAACAAAAAAATTGAAAGGTATTAAAATAATATCTGTAGATTAATCAAAAATACCTTCCAAAAATCCAATTAATGCTTCACTTTCATTTTCTATTATCTAAAATTTTTTTAAAATTTTTTAACAAAATTTCGTTTATTTTAATTTTGACAAGAAATTTTGTTAAAAATGCTTTTCTTGTATTTAATATAAATTTAAAAACTCGTGACCAGATATTTTTAACAAAAAAATTTAGAGAAAATATTTTAAAAGAAATTTACAAAAAATATTATTTTGAAAATTTTGAATTGGTCACTTGTTTGAAATTCATTTGAAAATCACAAACAACATTCGAGCCATTTGCCTTTGCACAAAATATACTTTATAAAAATCGCTCATCTTAAAAACTTGTTTTAAACCTTTCCCTTTTATGTATGTAAACAGTCAGACTTTAATTTTATGTACATCAGATCCTCAATTTAGGGTAACATCTTTTTAAATTTGGTTGGGTGGAGCTTACTAAGCAATACTCTGAATTATGAATTTACTCGATTTTAGATTCAATTATTTCAACTCTAATTTGTAAGGATATACATAAAATTAATAATTTGACTGTAATTGGAATATTTCTTTGTTAAAAGTAAAAATATTGTAATTATTATTTTTATTTTAAAAATGATTAAAAAAGATCAGAAAAATTCCAAATAAATTAATGTATAATCAATCAACTCTAGTTTTTATTTAAAAACCTAAAATTAAATAGATGATATTTAAAAGAGTTACACTAACAAGAGTTGATTTTTAAAATAAAATTACAAATATATTTTTATATTAATTAAGGGTTGTTGCAATTGAAGAATTTGATTTTACAAAAATTAAAAGATTTAACAAATTTCTATTGCAGCCCTTGTATTATTTTAATCTTCTTTTAAATGTTCATTTCCTGGTTCTGACACAATATAAACAAGCCTTCCCATTCCTTTATTTTTTTGATTTTATATAAAAACTTTTATCCATTTATGGATTTTTTTGGTATAAATAAATAAATTTTTTTAAATTTATTAATTGAAAAAAATATTAAAGAGCTTAGGTTCTAAAGAACATTTTTGGTTGATTTATTTTTGAGAGAATTATAAAAAAAATTTTTAAATAAAATAATTACAATATTTGACTTTTACCTAAATTATTTTAAAAAAGTATTTTAAAATAAAATTTTTGTAGAAAAATAAAAACATGAAGAAAAAGAAAAAATTGAGTTAAAATTGAGAAAAAGAGAGGAAAAAAGAATTTGAATATAGAAAGAGTTTATTGTTAGTAAAAGTTTAGCCACCGGGCAGGATTAAACCTGCGACAACGCTGACAGTGATCGCTCGGCCTTGCTCATACAAATGGAGGTGCTCTACCACTGATTGTGAGTACCGGAGCACCGACTAATGCTTTCTTTTTTCCCTTTTTAGATCGTTTAACCCCCCCCCCCCCCTAAGCGTTTTAAATGCTCTAGGTTAATCATCCTTACATTATCAAATTCTGATGATCAGATCACACAATCTCGATCAGGTCGCAGTATGCTGGTAAGGAATAGCATTAAGCGCTCACTTCGCTCCGTAGGACTTTTAAGGACGGATTGGGGTACACCAGCAACTGATATTATCCTATAAAAACAAAAATTGAGTTGATCTAAATTTATTTAAGCATTCTTCATATCTTCATTTAGTAATTATCACTTTTCTATATTTCAATTAATTTTTATTTTTCAGTTCAAAATGCCCAATACAAAAATTGTTCTTCTTCTAATAACGCTCTTCTTTGTAATTACTTCTTTCATTTCTCAATCAGCAACCACAGAAAACGATGCACTTTTTGTTAATGACACGGATCAAGACCATTTAGACTTTACTGATTTTAAAGAGAGGGGATTGCCTTTAGTTGAGAAAAAGGCTCAAAGGCGCATTAGACCGACAAATTGGTTTAGGTTTTGCTATGTGTTTATTTTGCCGATTATTGTGGTAGCTCTTAGTGCTTGTCTAATGGTGAGTTTTCAAAAAATAGGCTAAACCCAGAATATCACCACGAGGGAAGTGATGGGGGAGTGGTGATATTTTGGGTGTTTCCATAGTTTTGTAGATTCCCATTACCCTCAAAAATCTTTCTAAAAATTAACTTTTTAAAGTTTTGGTCTGTCCGCCGCTACAAAAGATGGAAAAAAGAAAAAGCAGAAGCACGGGCTCGTCACCAACAACTAAAACGTTCTCGAAGCAAGAGCAAAACCCGTACCAAATCAGCAGACAAAAAAGAACACGACGACCACTTACAGCCAACAATTCCAGTACCCCCGCCAACACCCGGAACAGCAATGCTGACACCAATGGAAAATCTCGTTTCAAGGTCGTTGACAGCCTTAGCGGGGCGAGTTGGAAGTGGAACGAAGTTTCGACCTATTGCAACACGTTCATATGCTGAGGGAGTGACAATACCCGATTCTTATAGAAGTGAAGAAGAGTCAAATTCTGATAGAAGAGACGGCAGAGAGGCTACAACTACAGAAGAAAGTATTGAAGACGATTTAGATGAGAGACCTGTTTCTTTAGTTGCTTTGAGTAAAATAGAAAATGTTGGGTCAATTAGAGGATAAATAAATTAATTTATATGTATAAAATATTTGTCTTTCTTTTGTTGTTGTTAATTTTGTAGAAAAAATAAATAAATTAAAATTATTTATTAAACTTGTTAGCTTTGTATAATTTAAATTTCTTAAAATGAAGAGTTTCGAATTTTTTCCATTCCTATTTTGGTCTGACTAAAGAATGTAGTTTTTTCCCGATTATTGGGACAGCAGGATTCCTGGCATGTAATAGGAAAGGAAATTGGAAACTTAGAACTTTGTCCACTAAAGTTGCAGTTCTTTAATATACCTCCTCTATTTTAATAGCAAACTTTACTTTTTGCCTCCTTCCATAATATTAAATCTAGTAATATTATGAGAGATTATTAAATCTAGTAAATTATTATTAGATTATTAAATCTAGTAAATATCCCTCACTTTAATTATGATTATTAATTCTGATAAATATGATCTAAGAAATCTTTTTTTTTAATGATCAAATTTGTCTCGACTCGATCTCGGGCTTGATTCATGGGCTCGGTCTAGACTCTCGGCTTTAACTTATTTATAAATTGAACCAACTGAATATATATATAAATTTTATGCAGTAAATATAAATTAAAATTTTTTTTTTAAAATTAAAAAATGAGAATCAACACACAAGTTAAATTAAAAACAAATATGGCAGTTACATATATTTTTAATAAAATGAAAAATTCGAGAGAAAATTTTGAGCAATTTAGGCCGAATATATTTAAAGAAGGGAATAGAAGGAGCACGCGGGTAATAAAAAGCTTGAAACAGCGGCAGATAATAAATAAACATAAAATATTTAAATGGTTTATTCGATTTTTGTTCATAAAAAGCCGCAAAGTTTGGCATAAAAGCTAACTTTGTTTGTGTATAAATGTTCCCGTTTAGCTTGCAAGTATTGAAATTTTTTAAATTTTAACTTCTCAAAATTCTCACAAAATTTTCATTTTATTTAGATATCTACATAAAAACCTGAATAACTTGCACCCATTATATAAATTAAAAAAATTATATATACAAAATATGTTAGTATTAAATTCGATTGATTTCAATGTCGTATTGACAGTTGTAAAATTTAATCTGAACCAAGAATTTTATGCTGCGATTATATTCATTGACGATCTCATATTTAATAAATTCATCATTATTTTTTCCAATTGTAGTCTCTCCCTCTTTATTTATATCAGAATCATGCCAATAAACGTTAAGAAATTTAATATTCTTTACCATATTTCTTAAATCTGTTGCTGTTTTCATATGCTGAAATTTAATCTTAAGTTACCGTCAACTTTTAATTTTAATAAAAATAAGTACTTGCAAACAATCTGTCCGGATTAATTTCATGTCTTTTTTTATATTAATTATTGGAGACATAGAGCTTAAAGTACTGATTTAATCAGGTGCCGAATTGAATAAAATATTTTAGAAAGGAATTGGATATAAGGGAATTTAGGAAAGGAAACCACTAATTTTATTTTTGGCAATCCAGGAGAATTGGGGTCCCTGCGAAAAAAAAGTTTAAAAGGAAGAAAAAGGTTTCTTCTAAGGTAAAAAATATGCTGATTACGAATCTGAACTCAGATTTTGTAAATTCGAATCCCGAACCCGAATATAGGTCCTCGAATATCGATAAACCATAGGGGGACCAAGCTGATTTTGGGGTGAAAAATTGGAATATGCAAATAATAGCTCATTCGAAAGAGCTCTTCAAGCTGAGTCGAATGACACCAAAATCATCGTGATTGAACAAGATCGGACGAAGTTATACCACAAAAAACAAACAACGTAAGCCTATGTTTTTTGTATCATAACTTCGTCCGATCTTGATGAATCACGGTAATTTTGATGTCATTCGACTCAGCTCGTCGAACTCTTTCGAATGAGATATCATTTGACCAATTTTCACTTTATTTATTATTCGAAATTTTCACCAAAATGTCAAATGTTCGAATTTCGGGTTCGGGATTCGACTTTTTAAAAATCTGAGTTCAGATTCATAATCAGCATTTTTTTTTACCCTAGAAATAAACCTTTTTCTTATTTTTAAACTTTTTTTCGCAGGGACCCCAATTCTCCTGGATTGCCTTATTTTTACTCAAAATATTTTCATACTTGTATGATCCACCCAAAAATTTCTGGCAATTTAAGTGAATAATAATTAATGGAGTTAAATCTATTTCCTTCATTCGTCAATATATTGAATAAAATACTAATTTCATTTTCAAAATCATAGAAACACTTAAAATAAATGCTCAAACATTCAGTAACCATCCCATATTTTGTAGCGAATTCACATAAATGCAAAATAGTGTCATATGTAGGCCTAAGGTGTAATCCAACGAATTTTAAATAGTTGGGGGTTTCTTCTTCAAACAATAATTTGATCATTTTTGAATTAAATATTACATAATCAAATTGTGCAAATTCAAAGGAGCATTTGAAAAGCTGATCCAGGCAGTAATAAATAAATTGAAGTTCTTGTATTGTTTGGGGGTAATTTTTGATTATCAAATAATAGGGTTTTGCTAAAAAAATTGTTAGTATAGTTAACAGCACACAATTTTGTTTTTCATCATCTATTCTCGAAATAGGTTTGAAATGGGCAAGGGAAAAATCTAACAAATCGTTTGGAAACGTGCACAGAAGTCGAAATGTGAGTCAATTTGGTTAGAAGAAAGTCATTGTTATTGCGGAACTTATTTACTTTAACTACCGACCCAGAAATTTTACCAGATAGATTTTAGATATGGACAATTTATATATCATTCGAAAGAGCTCGACAAGCTGAATCGAATGACACCAAAATCAAACAGCGGTCTCAATTTCGAGCTAAGACAAATGGGTTCAAAATGGTCAACATAAACATGTGAAGTAAACCACGCGCTTTGCGCGTTGCCACAAGCCTCTCAGGAAGTCAATGGTCGCTGGGTTGTACACCAGAAACATAAACCCATTCCTTTCTACCGATTTAAGCCTTGGAATCACCATTTACTTCCTCAACCGCACAAAAGCAGTTATCCCAGCAACAATTCAGTTCCTCGTAATTTTGTTCAAAATTATAAAATCTAGCTGATTTAGTTACCAGTCGACTTATGTAGCTCGTTGAGCTCTTTCGAATGATATATAAATTGCCCATATTTAAGAATAAACGATAAAATTTTGAGGTCGGTAGTTAAGTAAATAAGTTCCGTTATTGCCTTGCTTGCCCATAATGCCTCTAAACCAGAAATAAAACGAAGGAAGGAAAATATTACTTATACCCATATTGTAACAAATCTCCAAAAAATAACAAAAGGAAAGTAAAACATGCTGTAAAATCTTTATCTACCAATCAAGATAGGCAGTCAATTTCGAAAATTTATTTTTTCCGATTCCAAACTTTCGAAAAGAGATCTTTTGTGCTTTATTAAAGCATTATTTCTATATTATCCCGAACAATTGTCCTTTATCAGTACAAAAGTTACCTTCACCATATTTTTGTAATTCAACAACAACATTTTGTTTGCTATCAATAATTTGAGAACAATAAAGAACTGGATATGCTTTTTCAATCACTTCGTTCCACTAAAGAATAAAAAATTAGGGTTGTTCGTGACCGGTTATTAAGAGGCACCTTTGATATTCGGTTAGTAATACTTAGAACTTTACTGGAATTTATACTGATACTTTAGAACTTTGTTCGATCCCTTTTTATTTTCTCCCAGAATTTATTGTGATATGTACCCATCTCTGCCTACATATGCAGAAATTGGTGAGTGTACCAATACCATTTTGAATAGGCTCTCAAAATCTTTTATGGAAATTGAGACCGCTTACCACACATCAACAGTCCCGGGCCTTAGGTTCTAACATGCAGTGCTGAGTACTTATTGCATAGATTTGAGAAAAAATAAAAGGGTCTTACAAAGTTCAAAATTACCACAATACTTTCGTCTTCGATTTATATTAAAATATCGGCTTTATCTTTATTTTTTACTCTAATTTTTAAGAGGGATCTTTTAAATCATTTCCTGAAAACATTTGGTCTTTTAATAGATTCTCATAGGAATCGGTAAATTTTCGACAATTTAATTTGCGACAAAAATTGGTCGGGGGTGAATTTAACAGGTCAATCTTTAAAGCTGATCGTGACAATTCTAGTTGGATTTTTAAATACAAACATACATTCTGCTTTTGTCTATCATTCAATTGAAGAGTTAAACAATCTCTTGTAGTTTTAATACATTTGTATTTAGCTAACTGTAGACTATCCGCGTAAAACTGATTAAAGGAAAAAATAAGTTAAATAGGTTTATAATTAAATGTACAATGGTTATTTTTTTGAATTTCATTTGTGCCAACTCGTTTACAAATTTGTTGATAAATTCATGGAAAAATTTAGAAGTAAGTTTGAGAGCAGATAACTGATTAAAGTTTAGAAATTTAAGAATATCGATTTTAGTTTCAGTTGGCAAGGAGAGCATTATGTTTATTCCCAGTTTGATTAGTTTGCTAAAAAATATCAAAAATTGAAAACAAGTTTATAAAAAGTATAATTTAAAAAAAATTAAATTTAAAAATAAAACGATTTTTAAAATAAAAAAACATCAAGTTTATCAGTTCAAACAATTTTTTAAATTTTTATAAGCAAAATAAAAAGGCTGAAAATAAATGTAAAAAGAAATTGGTGGAATTCTAACAATTAAAAAAAATTCAAATTTTATAAAATGAAAAATAATTTATCAAAAGTCAATAAACAATGAATATTGTAAAAAGTTCTCACTTCCCTTCCCAATTAATGATGGCTCCAAGATCTTTAAACTTCTAAGCAGGAAGCAGAAATGCCATAACAGTGCAGGTTGAACACCAAAAGGAAAGGAGCGGTAATTCTAAGAAAAATAAAAAAATAAGGAACACAATCTAAATTTCACCTTTTTTCTATTACATTCTTTCTATAAATGTTAATGTATCAGAATTCTGAATTAAAAATTTCACTCCTGGATTATAAATATTGGCAATTTGATAACTGGTAGTTTCTAAGTCGTTAATTTTTGTAATTTCAACATTTTCTGCTCTCGCATCCAATTTAAAATTTGGAAATGAAAAATAATCTAGAACAATAAAAGCCACCATTTTTGAACAGTCTGCCGATGTTGCTACATACTAAAATTTAAATTTAATTCCATATTTTTTAATTGTTTTTACTTTTACAATAAGATCATGAAGCGTTATAAACTTAGAACATCCTAAATAAATCTTCGATAATTTTTTGCCTTCATTTACTATAATATTTAACAAAATGTCTATATGTTGTTCAGAAATGTCGTCTTTAAAAGTGATGGTAGGAGATAAAAAAACTGAGAAATGATTTAAAACTAATTTGAAAACACTCTCAAATATATTATTTCCAGCCGTTAAATAAGGTCTTCTAATGTGAAATTGTGTTGCAATTGTTTTATCGTTGTCAAATAGTAAATCAATCATTTCAGGATTAAAAACAACAAGAGAAAAGTAAGCATAAGTAAAAGAACAATTAAAAAGTTGTTCTAACCAACACCGAATAACAATCATTTCTTCAATATTTTTTGGAAAATTTGGCAAATTTAAAAGACGATAATGAGGATTTATATCGTCCACACGGTAAAGTGTCTTCTGCAAACAAACAATAAATTTTTTGTTTGATTCAAAATCATGTAAAAACAAAGGAATTGATTTATCTAGTGCTGCTTGCCACTAAAAAATTAAACGTATAATTTAATTAATTATTAATTTAACACCTTCTTCAAAATATGTTCATTTAAAAAAATATCAAAAATTCCAGATTCAATTTCAATAATTTTAAATGAAGTTAATTCTCGATCTTCGTCAGTCTAAAATACAAATTTAAAAGTAAATGTAACTATAGGTATTTTTCCGTTGTCCCTACAAATTTTTGCGGACTAAAGAATGGTTCATATTTCTTCCTTAAATTTTATCTTTCCCTGTGGCTGAGTAATTAATATGAAAGACTATTTTCAAATTTAAATGACCGATTTTTAAATATACACGCAAATAATTTTCTTCCAAAGTAAATACCTCCTCCTAAACAAGAACATTGAGCATTCTGTCAAATAAATGATAAAAAAGCAAAAATGTGTCCGTAAAAGTTTGTAGGGATAACGGAAAAGTACTTTAAATAAATATTTACTATTGAGAATGTATTGAATTTAATTAGTGCCAATTCCTCCTTGTATTTATTAATTAAATTGAGAAAATAAAAATTAGTTTGTTTAAAAGAGTATAATTGATTAAAATCAAGAAATTTTAAAACGTCAAGTTTTGCTTCAATTGGTAAAGAATTCATTCTAAAATCAGTATCTAAAAAAGAAAAGATAGGAAAAAATCTAAATTTTAAAAAATGAAAAATGAAAGAAAACTAAAATTTGGGTAATGATTTTATGTATAAGTACATATTTGAAAAAAGCTGTTATTTTTTTTATAAAATCAACATTTATGGAAGCAAAAAATCCAACTATCTGAAAAGATTCCATTAAATTTAGGAATGATAAATTTATTGTTTTTAATATGATTTTGTAGGTTAAGGTGTTTATTTATATTTTATTATTTTTCTCTAAATATTAATTGGGAATTTTATTTATAAATTTTTACATATTCTATTTATGAACGTATTTGTGAATGAGGAGGAATGACGGTTTTGGTTAAAAGGGGTTAATAAATATATATACATGTAATTGTGGGAGTGACATTCAAATATAAATAAAGAATTGAAGAAAATGGGAAAATATTTTCAGGGAAAAAGAAATTTTAAATAATATCAAAAAGGCATTTTAAAAATGTCTAAAAAAGATAGTTCGCAAGGTTAAATTTAGCGAAAGAAAAGGACTTATGCATTAATTGTTTACTTAGTAATTTAGAAATCGTGTCGGGCTAAAACGAGGAACGGACAAAACGCGGAACGACAGAACACGGAACGACAAAACGAGGAATTACCAAAACACGGAACGACCAAAATACGGACCATACCAAAACGAGGAATAGACAGAACACGGACTTGCCAAAACACGGAACGGCCAAAAGGCGGAACGACCAAAACACGGTCAAGAGAAATATTTTTTTATGATTTTAAAATATTTTAAATACATATGTATTTACAAAAAAATGATTATTCAAAAATGATAAAAAAATTTAAATCAAAATATTTTTAGAAATCAGAATGTTCAAAATGTCATATATAGGTTAGAAAAAGATGCTGAGTCGAACGGTACCACTCTTTTCTCACAGAGATGCGTGTGGACCGAGATATAGGGCTCGAAATGGTAAAAAAACCATAGGGGGAGTGCGCCTCGCCTACGCCTAATAGGTTTACGTTGACGATTTTGAGCTTGTTCATCTCGTCTCAAAATCAAGATTTCGAGCTGATTTTGGTGTCATTTGACTCAGCTCGAGGAGCTCTTTCGAATGAGCTATCATTCAAAAAATGGAATTTTTCACTCCAAAATTGAGCTTACTCCCCCCTATGGTTTTTGACCATTTCGAGCCTTATATCTCGGTCCACAGGCATCTCCGTGAAAAAAGAGTGGTACCGTTCGACTAAGCACCTTTTTCTACCCTATATATGACATTTTGAACATTAATTTAGGGGGTTACGTCATAACGGAAAAGTACCTTGATCTTTAAAATAAAATTACAAATATATGTATTTTCATATTAATTAAAGGGTTGCAGCACAATTTTACAAAAGATTATTTAACAAAAGATTTAACAATTTCTACTGCAACCTTTTTATATTGTAATCTTTTTTAAATGTTCATTTTCTGGTTCTGACACAACATAAACAAGCCTTCCCATTCCTTCATTTTTTTGATTTTATATAAAAATTTTTTATCCATTTTTGGATTTTTTTTGGTATAAATAAATAAAAATTTTTAAATTTATTAAACAATAGGAAGCATTAAATAGCTTAAGTTTTTGAAAAATGTTTTTAGTTTTAGAGAATTAAAAAAGTTTTGTTTACTTTTTGTGCAAAAAAATTAAAAAGGAAAAAATAACAAACAGGGGAGGAGGCGTTTGAATTTTAAAAATTTTGTCATTTAAATTCCGCCTATTCTATTCAACTCCCGACAACTTCTCATTCCATTTTATTAAACATTTTGATTTGACATTTAATTTTTTAAAATTTATTCAAAATTTTATGGGAAAAAGTTTATCTAAATTTAAATAACAAAAATTATAAAATATGTAAGATTAAAAAACGATTTAACAAAAAAATTCATTAAATCAAAAGAAAAAGGTTGTATGTTGCAAAAAATTGAGGCAACTTTCAACCCCTATATATCAATTTTTCTATCAACTTTCAATAATTCAATTTTGAAAAGGGGATATTTCAAGACAAGGAGGAGGGTATTTTAAGATAAATTTTTTCGTAGGCAGCGTCAGGGGATGACACGGATCAAGACCAGGCGAAGGAAAAGCCACGAACTCTTTAAGAAAAAACTAAAAGTCCTCAACTTTTAAGGACGGATTTGGAAACACCTCTAACTGATATTATGCTATAAAAACAAAAATTGAATTGATTTACATAAAGCATTCTTCATTTCTTCATTCACTTAATTAATGTAATTTTCATTTTTCTTTATTTCAATTAATTTCTATTTTTCAGTTAAAAATGTTCAATACAAAAATTGTTCTTCTTCAAATAACGCTCTTCTTTGTAATTACTTCTTTCATTTCTCAATCAGCAACCACAGAAAGCGATGCACTTTTTGTTAATGACACGGATCAAGACCATTTAGACTTTACGGATTTTAAGGAGAGGGGATTGCCTTTAGTAGAGAAAAAGGCTCAAAGGCGCGTAAGACCGACAAATTGGTTTAGGTTTTGCTACGTGTTTATTTTGCCGATTATTGTGGTAGCTCTTGGTGCTTGTCTAATGGTGAGTTTTTCAAAAACAGGCTAAACCCAAAATATCAACACGAGGGAAGTGACGGGGGGAGTGGTGATATTTTGGGTGTTTCCCTAGTTTCGTAGATTCCCTTGACCCTCAAAAATATTTCTAAAAATTAACTTTTTAAAGTTTTGGTCTGTCCGCCGCTACAAAAGATGGAAAAAAGAAAAAGCAGAAGCACGGGCTCGTCACCAACAACTAAAACGTTCTCGAAGCAAGAGCAAAACCCGTACCAAATCAGCAGACAAAAAAGAACACGACGACCACTTACAGCCAACAATTCCAGTACCCCCGCCAACACCCGGAACAGCAATGCTGACACCAATGGAAAATCTCGTTTCAAGGTCGTTGACAGCCTTAGCGGGGCGAGTTGGAAGTGGAACGAAGTTTCGACCTATTGCAACACGTTCATATGCTGAGGGAGTGACAATACCCGATTCTTATAGAAGTGAAGAAGAGTCAAATAGTGATAGAAGAGACGGCAGAGAGGCTACAACTACAGAAGAAAGTATTGAAGACGATTTAGATGAGAGACCAGTTTCTTTAGTTGCTTTGAGTAAAATAGAAAATGTTGGGTCAATTAGAGGATAAATAAATTAAATATATGTATGTATAAATATTATTTATTTTTCTTTTGTTGTTGTTAGTTTTGTAAAAAAATAATAAATTAAAATTATTTATTAAACTTGTCAGCTTATTATAATTTAAGTAGTAGGAAATAAAATTTGTAATTTAGAATTTTGTCCACTAAATTTGTATTTCTCTAATATTCTTCCTCTATTTTAACAGCAAACTTTACTTTTTGCCTCATTCCATATCTTTAGGTTTTAGGATTTATGAGTTTTTCTTAGATTATTAAATCTAGTAAAAAATAGAAACTTGTGAACTTGAACTTCTGAAATGATCAAAGGTCCGTCTCGACTCTCGATCTCGGGCTTAATTCCCGGGCTCGGTCTAGACTCCTGGCTTTTTTATCAACTCCCGAACATAATTAATAAACAGAGCTAACTGAATATATATAAATTTTATGCAGTAAATAAATTAAAAAATTATTTTTAAAAATTAAAAAATGAGAATCAATACACAAATTAAAAACAAATAAGGTGGATGCATATATTTTTGTTGGACTTTTGTCGGAAAAGGAACTTTAAAATGAAAAATTAGGGAGAAAATTTTGAGCAATTAGGTCAGATACTTTGCCTATGCGAGATATTTGTATAATCCACCCAAAAATTGTTGGCAATTTAATTGAAATATAATTAATTGAAGTAAATCACTTCCTTCGTCAATACATTGAATAAAATATCCATCTTATTTTTGAAATTGTAGTAAGAAGAAAAATAAATGCTCAAATAGTTGGTGACTATTAAAGTTTCTGTAGCGAATTCACACAAATTTAGAATATTATCATGTTGAGGCCTAAGGTGTAATCCAACGAATTTTAAATAATTAGGTTTTTCTTCATCAAACAATAATCTGATCATTTTGTAATTAAATACGACATAATCAAATTGTGCAAATTCAAAGGAGATAGTTGATCCAGGTAGTAATGAATAAGTTGCAGTTCTATTGTTTGGGGGTAATTTTCTATGATCAAATAATAGGGTCTTGCTAAAAATAATTGTTAGTATAGTTAACAGCACACAGTAAACACAGTTTGTGCTTGCTCATAATGTCATTTAACCAGAAAGAAAAGGAAGGAAAGGAAAATGTTACTTATACCCATATTGTACCAAATCGCCAAAAAAGAACTAAAAAGGAAGGTAAAATCTGGTAACTTTATCTACCAACCAAGATAGCCAATTTCGAAAATTTATTTTTTCCTGCTTCCAAACTTTTGAAGAGTGATATTTTTGTTCTTTATTAAAGCATTATTTTTATATTATCCCGAATCAGTGTCCTTTATCAGTATAAAAGTTACCTTCACTGTATTGTTGTAATTCGATAACTATTGTACATTATACTTGCTATGAATAATTTTAATACAATAACTGGATATGCTTTTTCAATTGCTTCTATCCACTAAAAAGAACAAGAAATGAGGGGTAATTGGTAATTTTATTTATAAATTTTTATTTTATTTATGAATGTATTTGATTAAAAATAAAAAAATATTTGAATATAATTAGTTGAATGAGGAGAAATGGCGGTTTTGAGTAAAAGAGGTTTATAAATATACATATGTACTTGTGGGAGTGACATTCAAATATAAAGAAAGAATTGAAGAAAATGGGAAAATAGTTTTAGGGAAAAAGTAATTTTAAATAATATCAAAAAGGCATTTTATAAATACTAATTTAAATTACTGGTCTAAAAAATTGACCGCAAAGTTAAACATAAATTTTAAATAGATAATAAATTTTACCAGAAAAAATTAAAGATATCAAAGTTAAATTTTTATAAAAATCCAAAAAATATGCATATACAAACTTAAAAAGAAAATTAATGATTTAAAAAATTAACAATAAAATATGTTTAAATTTATAATAATATCAAGTGTCATCTGCTCGTGGATCTTCATAATCTTCAAAATTTGGGTCTGAATATGTTGTGAATCGACTAGGTCGTGGTCTGTTTCTTTAATTAAAATATTTAAGTTTTTTTAATTGGTTAAAGTTTTGCTTAAAATAAATAAATATATCTAATTTTGTTATCAATCAACTCAGCTATAAGAGCGTCCCGAATGAATTATAGACAAGTTTTTGAGGTTAAAATAATTTTGAAAATGTTTTAACAAAAAGAAAGGCCATCAAAAAATCCCTAAAATTTAAATACCTTTCCAAACTTTCGAAGCTTACAGGATCCGCCTCACGCACAGAAGCACCTATTTAAGTATTTATATAAAGAACATAGCTTTTCGAATTTAATAAAAATATAAATTTACCAATTTGAGCAAAACGGTGTTCCCAGAAACTCGGAGTTCTTTAAAAATTTATTTAAAACATCAAAGTTCAATTTTTAAAATAAAAATTTTCAACATCTAAAAGGGTTACACGATTACCTAATTATATAATTACCAAAAAATTCTTCAAATAGGGATGAGCTTTGAACATTTGAGAGAGGAGGGAGTGGGTAAGGAGCAATTCCGAAAAATCCTTTTGCGAACACAAATGATAAAAAAACAAATGATAAATGTAGGGAAAGTTTTAAATTTCTAAAATATTTCGGACCTAAAAATTCTCTAGTTCTTTTTTTTCTCAATCAAAATCCATTACTATTTTCAATTTCTATATTTCTGGAAAATCCTTTTGCGAACACAAATGATAAAAAAACAAAAAAACACCTTAAAGCAGCACTTAAATAACTAGTCCCCGCAGCCCTGTAATCACTCGGCCCTTTTGTGAACATATACCCAGAGAGTGGTGCTTCTCCTTTTGCTTTGTATTCATTTAAAAGTTTTGTTTCCCAATGTTGTGGACTTAAAAATTGGAAAGAAAAAAATTTAAATTGAATTTTTAAAATATTAATTAAATTACGGTGTTGGAAGGTATTTCCCTTCAGGGCGGCGATACCTAAAAAGGAAAAAATATTTTTTTCAAAATTTATTAATTTTAGTATACTATTTCATAATTATTATTGGGAGGGACATTTTGTAATAAATAATTATTTTGTAATAATGTACTTGTTCTTTTGCCCCATATTTTTTAAGATTGGGTAATTTTTGTTCTAATTAGGTATGTATTATAAATTTTTTCCGAATTTTTTTTTTAAATTTAGAGTGTCTAAAAGTTTGGAAATTATGTAGCTAATTTAGAAAACTTTAATTATTTTTAATCAACTAAATAAAAATATATATTTATTTACATATCAACAGAGTGTTGAAGATCAAAATCAAAATAATCCTTATCGTCTCTGTTTGGTCTACTGTAATATGACCGTGGAATTGATAACTAAAATAATTTTAAAAATATTATATTTATTTTTAAAGTTTTTATCCTAAAAATACTTTTGGTTTGTTCTATGTAAAATCGAGGAACCTTTAGATTCTCAGACACTATTCCCAACAATTACAATCGAAAATACTTACACAAAATACCGTATTTTCTCGATTAATTACTCCCCTTAGCAATTACCCTCCTTACAATTACCCTCCGTTCTAACTCTTAAGAACTTTTTTCGAAAATTCTTTCTAATAAAATCTAGACTAAAGTTTAAAAGTCCTATTTAAGGACATTTGTGTGAGGAAGATTCCAGACATTTTCTCCGATTCAAGAAAATTTTTAAACTTTCGGACTTGCAATAATTCTGACACTTTTCTGACTCCGATTGAAATTTAAAATCGGTTTAAAATTCCACCTCCGATTTTAAATATTAACAAATAAAACTGGAAATAATTTAAAGCTGTGTTTGAGAAAAGTTAATTAAAATTAGTTAGTTAATATTTATTTTTAATATAATGTTTAATCAATCTCCAGAATTTATAAATTTTATCCAAAAAATAAAGTTCAACTCGGACTCGCGACCTGGTTTTAGGATTTATAACTCGGCTTTCTAATAAAATCTTGTTTCCGGGTTTTCCCTTTTAACGCTGAAAAGAAAATTTGTTTCTGTAAGTTGGGCTTGAAAAATCCAAAACAAGAAGAAAAAATTAAATTTTAAAAAATCGAATCTTAAGTTTCAATCAATAATACATAATGGTAAAAAATTAATTTAAAAATTTAAATGAGCGACTATTAATAATTTATTAATTGATTTAAAATTTACTATATGAGAGCGTGTAATTGAAAATTTAAAATTTACTATTAATTCATTAACAAGTCAGTTAGAATTAATAGAGGAGGGGGAGTTTTTCTTACTATATTTAAAATCCAAACAACATTAGAGAGGAGGTTCTTTAACTTAAATTAAGGCTGGATAGACCTTAACTTCATGTTACTTTCAATTAGGGGTTGCAAGTTCTTGAAAATATTTGAATTAAAATATATGTATTTTCTTAATTTAAATATTTTTTTTATTTAAAGAGATGAAAATATTTTGTAAGAATTTATTGTTTTATTTATTTGTCCACCAATTTCTTTTAAATTTATCGGTATCTACAAAAGAAAAGGAAATAAAAAATAAATTTAGTATGCAAATGGTAGACACTGAATTAAAGAATAGTTTTAATGAATTTGAAGATACTAAAAAAGGGAGGAGTTTTTTTGATAGAAGTTTTATAGGGGTATTTCTATATAGTTACACTGGAGTTTAGGGTTGTTAGTTCTTGGTAAATCTTCAGGTATTATCTTCAGGTACGGGAAATTTTCAGGTATCTGTTCAGTTCGGGTCAGAACCGAAGAATCCTACAGGAGAATGAATTGCCTTCTTTATTAACAATAGAGGGATTTCTATTAAATGTAGAGTATGGGGGGGGGGGGGATATCTGGGCTTATTCTGATTTATTGAAAAAATTAATTAAATTTAGGTGGTGAAAAAATAGATAGATTAGGCTTTGTATACAAATTATCAGATGCTTATGCCGTTTTAAGTAACCGAAAAAGAGAAAAGGGATTGAAAAAAATTTTGGAGGAAATAAATGAATTAAAGTTAAATAGTAGTAATGGTGAGAAGTTTGAAATTTATAAAGAAATTTATGAAAAATATTTTGGAAAAACTGAAGATGTTGGAGAGGAGATTGAGGTAAAAGTAGGTTTTGGAGATTTGTGCAACATTGCCGAATTTCGAAATAAAAGAAAATTGGAGGTTTTTTGTTTATTTCTTTATTAAAAATATTAATTTAAAAAACTTTTTGAATGTTGGGAAGACAAAATTTTCTAGGCGAAAGTGCTGATTTTAGGCAATTATAATAATTGCTTTAGCAAACTTGGCAGGATTTTTTAATAGAATGGTTTGTAAGTATAGATAGGGTCACTATGATAAATACAAAGCTAAAATCGAAATGAGTAACTGGGGTCTTACTGTATAAGATTTTTGTTGTGCCACAGACAGTGTCAAAATCCAATCCGATATCTGTTCATGCGGATATGATCAGAAAATTTGTTAAAGAGAATATTTTAAAATAATTTCTAGAAATTGCATAAATATATAAAGAAGCTTGAAAAGGAATATAATTTTAAACAAATATTGAAAGCCGAAGAAAAATGTGAAGAAGTAGACAATTATTTTAGTGAAGGTAAAGAATTGAAAAAGGATAAACTTGAAAAATTTTGTGAATATTTCAAACAAAAACGAGAAGAAATTCTGAAAGTTTAAGGAAAAGTAAGGAGTAAAGAGTGAAGAAAAATTGGACGAAAATTACTTTAAAAGATTTGAAAGAGAAGATTGAGCTGCTATTTTTTAAATTTAAATTTTTATTTTTAAACAAAAAATTATTTTTAAATGTCAAAGATAACAACTCCTCCCATTTATTGTTAAAAATGAAGTTGTTGGCGATCGGTTTTAAAACCGGAATTTTAGAAATTTTTTTGCCAGAAATTAACCGTTTTTAGAAAATTTTAAAAACAGAAAACCGGAAATTTGTGAAAATGAGTGATTTTATTTAAAATTCCCCTCAAATAAAACCGGTATTTGCCTAAAACTCAAAACCGAAAACCGGGTTTCTAAAATTTAGATTAACCGAAAACCGGAAGTACCGGTTAATAACCGGTCGTAAACAACACTATTTAAAACCTTTATACAAACTTGTAATTATTTTTGGAGAAATATGACAAAAAATTCCCAATTTTTCAAAAAAAATTTCGGTAATTCCCAACCAAAATCCCATTTCTTACATAAATGTAACGTAAACTAATTTTTTATTTTTTAAATTTATTTTTATTGGGTATGAAAATTATATTTTTTTTCTCTTAATTTTACCGGGCTGTTTATTTACTTAAAAAAGCTTTACCAGCATTTCGTCTTCTGTTGCGAATTGTTCTGTTGAACTTCCCGCAGAAGGGAAAGGAGCACTTCTAAATTCTTTACTAGTTATTGTTTTCATATGTTCTGGCAATATTGAAGTTTTTAGAAGACGAGCTAGAAAATTAAATTTAAAAATACGAGTAAACGAGGAACTATAATAAAAATACTCAGGCTTAAATGAAATGAATATTAATTGAAAAACTTGGGAGGGAATTCAGAGAGCTAGCTGAGGAGGAAGAGAAACAAGAATATTTAATTATATATTACCTGTTATATCATCAGCAATTTTGCTATAACGAGTTAATTCTGGTCTTTCAATTCCTTGTGTTCTATTTAAATGAGGTGCTGCATAAGGACCTAAAATATAATTTTTAATTCAAATATCCTCCAACCCCCTCCCTCCCTTTTCCACACTAACCACTTCCTGCAGAATTTATCAATTTGGGCATTCCCCTGGGGGCTATAGCATCATTAGCCATCCAACTAGGCGCTCTAGGCAAAAAACTTTCGGAGTCTAAATGTGTTAATTCAGTGAAAGGTAAATCTGTTGATTGGTGTCGACGACGGGCACGGTTAAATTCCAGATGGTTAAGTTGGGTGTCTTGATATTCATTTAATTGTCTGTTTCGTTCAGCTGTTGCTCTAGGCTAATAAATTGAGAAATATTTTGAAATTTAGAAAATTTTTTAAGTCTTTTATTAAAGTTATTTATTTATTATTGAACCTCTCATAAAATTAAAATCTTGATATGACTAAAGGAATAGCAAATAATGGATGAATCAAAATGGTTTATAAAAAAATCCCCAAATTCTTAACTTACGGAATTAAATTTAAAATATTTTAGTAAAGGATAAAGGGTTTTCTTTTAAACTACAAATCCAGAATTTAAACAAATTATTCTTATAAATTCAATTAAAATATCCAATTTACTTTATTATATGAAGATTTAACACTTTCCTCTAATTGATGCCATGCCGGCTTTCTATCCGTTAATTCTTCAGTAATCCAATCGTCGAAGTCAATACGAGGGAATTTTGGTGTGTTTAACAAATAACGACTTCTAAATTTATTTAAAAATTTTCTTTTATTCAAGAGACTTTTTTAGAGAATTTGAGAATCTCTCTAATGAGTAAAGAATAAATGAATATGTATACTAGTACATAATAGTTTTCGATTAGTTCGAGACCGAACTAATGAAGATTCCTTAGTAAAAATAAAAAGGCGTTCAAGAAAACTAAAAAAGTTTTTGATAAAAATTTCTATTTTAAAATTTTATTGGAAGGATAATTATTAAGTTTATTCATTAAAATAATGGTTTCCTCTATAAAATAGATTTTAGCCATAGGAAACAAAAATTTAGGGATTAATTTTAAATAAAATTCCTTACGTAGAAGCATCTTCAATTCCTCCTAATTGTTGTTTATCAGGACTTAAAGACCTTCTACTTCTTATAAACGTTCTTTCTGCCCTATCTTGTATAGTAGAATCTCCACTTTTTCGACGCTTTTCCAAAGAAAAGGAAGAATGTTGTCCTCCAACAGCAGAAGTTGAAGAAGAATTAGCTAAAGGGGAGGGTATTGGGGCTCTTCTATTTCTGATTGATTTAAGTAGATTATCAGAATCATCCAAAACACGTTGTGATCTGTCACTAAATTGAACACGTCTACGTAAATCGCGTAAATATTCTGCTGGGTCTTCATCGCTAGAATCATCGCCACTTACTGTTAGAAAATAATTATTAAAGGATTGAGGGGAAAGTGGAAGGGAAGGAGGGGGGTTTTTTAATAATATTTTGATTGAAAATAGATTAAAATTAGAAAAAATTTATTTTGTCTAAATGGAGATTTTTCGAGATATGTCGATCTCGGATTCTGTTCAAAAATCGTCTCCTTCGCTCAGTCCTGATCCCGATCGATCCCCAAATTGGGCTTCTATATAAAAATTTTTATTTAATGGGATCTATACATATGTATATGAAAAAAATTCAAAATCCTACAACTAAAGATATTAACTTAATCAATGTCCTAATAAAATTTTGAGTAACTTATAATTAATTTTATATAACTTTGTAAAAATATTTTGGTTATGTATTTTAATATGTACATATTTTAATTATATCATTACCTCTTGCCACATTATTATTAATATTTAAATGTCCAATATTATTACTACTACTTGGTATAGAAATAATTGAAGATGAAGGTTCGTGTCCATTTTCAATAGGTTCTGAGTTTTTTATAACTTTTGTGTCATTTTCTCCTTCCATTTTAATTGGATGGGATTTGAATTTTAGTAATTAAACAGTCGAATATTTTATAAAAACTTTAAATTTGTTAAAATTATTACTTAATTGGATGTTTATTGGAATTGTTGACTTTTTATATTATATAATTTAAAAGTATATTAATATTATCTAAAAAGTGTAAATGAATTTAATTAAAATAATTAAGGAAGGTTAAGGGGGAAAATCGTTCAAAATTGTAAAATCTGTGGCGCCCTGGTATGATTCGATTCAACTAGTCGAGCCGCATCGAACCATAACAGGGCGCCACGAATTCAACAATTTTGAACAAAGTTATATCTCAACGGTACATTACACTAGACGTATGTATATCGGGGTGCACCCGAAGGTTGAGATCATTATTAAATTACTGTGTTAATATTATAACGATATTTTTACGATATAGAGATCGACAAAGGGCAAATACAAAATTGAGTGAATAAATGAGTAAAAATTTCAAGTGGAAAGCGAAAAATGTAGTCAAAATATTGGGGAATTAGTGAGTGTGTAAGTACACGTCTCCTAAAATTTTGTGAAAAATCGAGCTCTGCTAAAGAAAAGTGAACTTGTCATATTACAAAATGAATATTTAAAAAATATAAACAAGTTTTTTAAAAAAAAAGTTTAAAAAAGTTTAAACAAAAAATTTCAATAAGCCTTTCAAGAGAATATATATCTATAAAGCAATTCCAAGAAACGATAAATTGAGCAAGAAAAAAAAAGAAATTGTTTGCCTTTTTTTTCCTTTAAACAGTCAAGTCGTTTAAGTGGAAGGGATATGGAGGATATGGATATAAATAAATATATATATTTTGATCAGTATTGAAGAGTAGTTAATAGTATGTTTGTCGTTCGAGAAGACAACCAAGAAAAGCTTTAAACAACGTGATTTGTCTAATATAAAGTGGTTATCTGTAGAGAGGAATGTTTAGAGGGGGGTGAATGTTGTTATTGTTGGTAGGGGTGGTGGTGGGGGGGGGGTATATTACGTCTGACAATAAGTATATAAAAATGTGGATTTTTGAGGTATTTAAAGGATAAAGAGATAAATAATATAAAAGAAAAAAAAGTCAAAAAAGAAGAAAGTGCATCATTTTGTGGAAATAAATGAAAGGAGAAGGAAATGGGGGCGGTTTGGATCTAGCTGAAAGAAGAGGGATTTTGCTTTTTCTCTTTAAGTAGCTGATGAATTTCCAGCTGCTGACAACTGCCTGTCCTTGCAGCCTTTTAACTAAATAGCAAAAATATATTTATTTATTTACCACTAAACACGCAAAATATCCTGGACCAATACTCTCGATCTAAGGCTGTGTAAAGAGAAGGAAAGAGATAGAGAGAGAGAAAGGGAGAGAGGATTCCCTCCTTCCGGTGATCCTTCCCCATTAATTCAACAATAAATCTACATTTTTTGTTAGTATGTCGAAAATAATCGAATAGAGAAAAAAACATTGAATGGCCACAACAGCCTCTGTTGGGAATCGATTGAAGAATATAAAAATTTCTGAAAGTCTACTGAAAAGAAAAATAATCTGTGATTAAATTTAAGATTATCCACATAAATTGGAATCATTAAATAAAATAATTAAATAATGTTGGGGATAATTAAAATGTTGAAATGTCAGAAATATTTCTTTTGATTTGATTAAACTAAAAATATAAAATCAAGAATTAACAAAAGCCTCGATTTTTGAAAAACCCTGAAAAGTAACAGATCGACAATCAAAAATACATAGAGAACTAATTAATATCCAATTCTAATCTTATTATAATAAAGCAAATTTGCACAATTGTGTGGATTGAAATTATTTAGAGAGAAAAGATTCTAGTAATTAAAGAATTCCCTAACAAAAAATTAAATACAATTTTAAAATTTAATAAAATATAGTTTTTGTAAGTAAAAGTCTACTTTCATTTAAATCATTATTCTTTTTAGAGCAACTTGATTTCGGTAAGAAATCACGTATATTATGGCTACGTCTCTTTCGTCGTCCTCCACAACATGAAAGGCCTTTAAATTAATTTAAAAAACAAAAAGTATTTTTTAAATAAACTAACATGATTGGGGAGAGCAACAACAACACCCACAACTTGAAAATTATTTTAAAAATATTTTATGAAAATTTAAATTTTGTACCATTTACAACAACAAGGACAGGTACATGGAAGTCTAAAAATAATTGAAATAAAATAAAAAAATATTAGAGAGTCAAAACCTAATGCAGATTGGCCCTTTATGGCAAAGACAACAAGAACAGCAAGGCCTTGAAAGAATAATTAAAAAAAAATTAAAAATTAAGGGTGTTCGTTTAAACCAAAGGGTGTTCGTTTAAACTTTAAGGGTAAAAATAATTAAAAATATTTAGCTAATTAAGGAAGAAAAACGCATTACAAATATTAATTCATCCTTAATATTCTTAATATTCTTAAACATTAATTTTAATAATTTTAGTCGAAAAATATGCCACTTTAAGAGTAACAAAAATTTTCCAGCTACTATAGCAAAAATTAAAACCACCGATTAGTCGGTAGTGAATGATTGACCGGCAAGGCCTTGATAATATATAATATTGCTTCGGAGAACTTTATGGACTATTAACCCCTTCCAACACTTTGCTATTTTCTGGAAATGTTCAGCTGCTTTTTATCCTAATCTCTTTATCCAAACAAACAAGAATATATTTCCAACCTACAACAACATGGACCTGTACAACAACAACATCCATCAGCCTCTGTTTTCCCAGGAAAATGAGACAAAAAAGTTAAAATAATAAAAAACAGTCCAATAAAGGAATGAAAAATAAAATAATTATTCATTTTTAGATTAATTAATAAATTAATTAAAATTGGCTATAAGATTCCATCTTACATCCATTTTATAGTCTTGTTAGAAAATAAAGACAAAGATAAAAAACAAAAAAACATTGTTCTTCTTTTAATAAATTTTCATTTTCTAGGAACAAAAAGAAAACATTTTATTTATTTTTTTTAATGTTGTCCTCAATTACTGAACTAAAATAAATAAATTTAGTTGGGATAATATTTGGTATAATGTCTTTGTTGTATATTTGTGCCTTTGTTGCTGTTGTTTCTCGTAATTCATTTTTAACGTTAAAAAAATTGGTCGAACCGCAACAAAGAAAGAATAAAAAAGAAAATTATTTTATTAATTAAAGAAAATGAAAAAAATTATTTTAACCGAGTTTTGTAGATAGTAAATATACATATAATTATAAAAAAAATTATTGAAAAATTAAAAATTATTGTTGACTAATCTCGATAGCAAGTTTCTCTCTTTATTATGACTGACAATGAGCAATTTAGTCCAGAGTGAGTTCTATTGGGATTTGAATGTACTTAGATATAAATTAGTATTATTTGGGAGTTTGTACTGATTATTGGATTTTAATATTTTCAATATTTTCTAGAACGTCCTATGTATATTTTCCAAAGTGAAGACTTGGGGCGGAATACAGCATTCTATTTTTTTTGTAATCTGCTCTACTCTGTTGCATATTTTAGTGCATATTTAGGGCTTTTTCTGTACATATACATTCGCATATTTTTGGATTTTTGTGCATATTTTGCCGCACCCTAGTTATAACGGGTGCCGGAATTTTCGTCTCTGGAAATTTCGTCTCCAAGACTTTTCGGAACTTTCGTCTTCAACATTTTCGGAATTTTCGTCTCCAGCGGAATATTCGTCTCCAAGGAAATAAACGGAATATTCGTCTCCACAATTTTCGTCTCCGCTAGGAATTTTCGTCTCCAGAGGAAAATTTACCCGTTGACGGAACAACCTCCCCCGCTAACGGAACAACATCCCCCGTTGACGGGGACTCTCCCTCACTGACGGAACATCTTCCCCGTCAACGGGGGATGTTGTTCCGTCAGCGGGGGATAGTCCCCGTCAACGGGGGATAGTGTTCCATCAACGGGGGAAGTTGTTTCGTCGACGGGGGATAGTCCCCGTCAACGGGGGATAGTGTTCCATCAACGGGTAAATTTTCCTCTGGAGACGAAAATTCCTAGCGGAGACGAAAATTGTGGAGACGAATATTCCGTTTATTTCCTTGGAGACGAATATTCCGCTGGAGACGAAAATTCCGAAAATGTTGGAGACGAAAGTTCCGAAAAGTCTTGGAGACGAAATTTCCAGAGACGAAAATTCCGTACACCGTTATAACATGTTAAGTCAAGTAATTGGTGTTTTTCACATTTATCGAGTTATAATATTTTACGTGTGAGCAGACTTGATCCATTAAGTTGGAAAAAAAGATTCCTCTTGTTGAGGGCCTTCGAATGGCATGATTTATTTGAATGGAATCAAAAGGTTAAAGCCGATCAAATTCGGCTGGAACTCAGTTTCTGGGCGTATAACCGATAAATACCCATGTTTAACCTGTCACTTTTTCAAATTTTATCAATTAAAAAATTTCAAACTTTATCGTTATTATGAAAATTTTGAGAACTCAGCCCGAACTCAGCATGACATCCCTGATTTTGTATTAATTAATTAATTAAATATTAATTAGCCATAAAAATCTACAAATAAAAAAATCTAATTTTTCTTTCTCATTCTATTAATTTATTAGATATTTTTTTGTTTCTCTTATAATTTCCAAATCTCCACTTTAAAAAAACAAGTTTTTCTATACTTAGAACTTTATTATTTACACAAAATTTTGTTTTTAATTGTATATAATATATTTGCTACTTTTATTAGCCCGATTAGGGACAGAGGGAGAGAGAGGGACACATTGTGCTTTTAAATACATAAATTCGAGATGTGGATGAGGAAATGAAGAAAAGGTGTTGGTTGTTGCTTTTTCCTAAAAAGAGAATTTTTGTTTCTTTCTAAAAAATAAAGTATTAATTAAAGAATAATATTTTTTTAAATATGATTTTTTCAATAAATTCTAAAAAATATATTTTTTTGAAATTTTTAATTGGATTATTTCTATACTTTTCGGTAATTCTCTTAATTATTAGATTGGATAAAAATTGTTATAATTTCCTTTTAAAATAGGCAATAGTGTCTTTAACTGAAGCCACAAGTTTCTGTAACAATTGTCAATGTTGTTCCTCTACAAATCATTTAACAAACGGGCAATATTCTGAAGGAAACGAAAATGAAATAGATTCAAAGTTTTTCTAAAAAAAATTGGCTGTAGTTTAGTATACCGGAGTGCTCGAGAAGCTCTTTCGGATGAGCTATCACTCGAAAAATCGAATTTTCCCTCCCAAGAATGTGCTTACTCCCCTCTGGTTTTTCGATTTTCAGGGACCTATATCTCGGTCCACAAGCATCTCCGGAAAAAAGAGTTGTACCGTTCGACTTAGCTTGTCGAGACGAATCGAATGGTATGGGCCTTGTATCGGAACTGAAACTTTGGTACAGGGGTGAGCGCAAGAGACAATCTCAAAAAACGCAAGACGCAAAACGCAACGCAAGGCCAAAATTTAACGCAAATAACGCAAGACGCAAAACGCAAAACGCAAGAACGCAAAATTGAGAAAAAATTTTTTTAAATTAAGTATTAGCCATTTTTCAGTTAAAAATTGATGTATTACTATAAGTTAGCGAGTCATAATTAAGTTTGAGGTACAAGTAAGTTGGATGAGTAATGTTTTGGAGAGAGATAAAGGATTTAGAGGGATTATGAAGGATATCAGAGGATTTAGAACGATCAAGGTGGTTAACGAAGTGGCTGGGGATTACGCAGATTATCATGTAATTTGGAGCGATCAAGTAAATTTAAAAAGATCCCATGGGATTACTAAAGGATGTCGAGTGAGTTAGGGAGATAACGGAGGATAAAGGGCTATCAGTATTTATAAATTGATTCCGGGGATATCAGGTAATTTGGAGGATAACTTGAGATCTGAGCTCCAGATAATGAACCGATATTTTTTGAGCCGTTTCAAGATGTAAAATTGGTATTTAAATATTTAAATACCCTACTTTTAGCGCCGCAGGCAAAAATATTGAGAATTTTGGAAAGCAGAAGCTAGATTTCTTCCAATTTTTGCCCTCAGATTAGAATAATAACAGGGATTTGAGCATATAGTAGTTATCAGGGGTTGCAGAGATATAGCAGGATATCCCTACAAACCCCCGATATCTTTTTAAATCAACCTTAATCGCAGTAAATCGACCGATAGTCTTCTATCAATTCAGTTCCTCCGATATTTTCCACTTGGCCACTTTATCCCTCCTCCATTTTCTGCGCCGCAAGCGAAAATTTTAAGAATTTTGGAAGGCCAGAAAGCAAAATTTCTTCATTTTTTAGCGCCGCAGGCGAAAATTTTTAGAATTTTGGAAGGCCAATAAGCCAGATTTCTCTAATTTTGTCCTCAGATTGGATATATTTTTTGCGTTAATTTCATCGAAAATAACGCAAGACGCAAAACGCAACGCAAGGCCAAAATTTAACGCAAATAACGCAAAACGCAAAACGCAATGCGCTCACCCCTGCTTTGGTATACTAAACTACAGCCAAAAAAATTTAATTTAAAAAATTTTTTTCTCTCAATTTAAAGCCGAAATGACCATTTTGCCACTTCTCCACAACTAACATTTTCTATCCCAAATGCAAAGCCAATTCCTTTACTCGAAACAGAAAATGGACTACAAAAATATTACAAAATAGATTATAACGGAATTAATCCAACAAATTTAAATCAAAAATCATTTTCCCCCTCAAAAACCCTTTTATTTCCAATTCCCGTTGCTGCATTAATTGTACAGCCAAACAGTTTATCTCAAATTGGTTGTAATTGTTTAAAAGGAAATTCTGTTAATAAAACCCCCCAAATAATTGAGGAAGATGTCCCTGAAGAAAATTGTGAAAGTAGATGTGAAAAGTGTACGGGAGGAATAAATGAAAATGAAGAAAGTGGGGGAGATGAAGGAAATATAAGTAGTAATTGTTGTGAGGAATGCCAAAATGTTTTGTTGGAAAAATCAAAAAAAGAAGAGGGAAATAAAGGAGAACACCAACAACAACAATTAATTTTTCATCAAGAGCCTGAAAATAATAAAATTCCGTTAGAGGCACGTTTAATTATTATATTTGGATATATCAAGTTTTATAAGGATGATTCACCTAGCAGCATTTAAAACGCTTATATAGGCTTAGGTTAAACGATCTAAAAATGAAAAAGAGAAAGCATTAGTCGATATGCCTAGGTAGCTCGGTGGTAGGAGCTCCATTATTTGGTGGGCGAAAGCGCCTAGCAATACGGTGAGCTCGCAGGTTTGAAGGTAGCTAAACTTTTGCTAAACTCTTTCTGTTTTGGTTCCCACAATTTTTGTTCTCCCTAATTTTTTTGCCTGTGTTCAAGTGATTAAATTTTATTCATGTTTACAAGGACTTCTGAACAGCTGTCCATTATAAAATGTTTAAAAATTACTGAATTAAAGTTTGTTAAATTTTTGCTGCGGTACTAAAAGTGTAGACTTTTTGTCGCGAAGCGACTAAGGATGAGGAAAATAAAATAAATATATTTTTATAATTTTAATTTATTTCTAAATTAATCATCACTTATTGCAAATTCCTTTTTCGGACTTTCACCTGGCTAAAAATCATTTTTTGCTGTAAACATCTATTCAAAACCTATTTACATTTTTTGCTCTTTTGTTCTAAAACTTAACTTAATTTTCCAATCTTTTGTATTATTCAAAACATGTGCATTTTATCTAATCGTTCCTATTATGCCTTTAATGATCGAAATATTTTTCTGTCTACCCGCCTATTTTTCTGGCCTATATAATCTCCCACCCCAAACCCCTATTAGCTTTCATTCTTAGCTTTTTTCTGGGTTGGCTGGCTTTCTCATTAGCGTTTTCTGTTGGCTTTATTCTGTTCTGGTTGTGGCTCTCGTTCCTATTTGTGGCCTTATCATTAATCTATTTGTTGGACTATTTAATTGTGTGAAATAAACTTATTAAAATTTGTTCGGCTTTAATTTGTTGGTCCTAAACCCTTGGCCAATTGTGTTGGAATCTCTTGGCCTAACCCAGCTCTTGCGAAATCCCTATTTGTGTATTGGCTCTATTTGTTTGCTATACTTTTTGCCTCCATAAATTCAAGAAACCTCCGAAATTAATCCTAATTTTCAAATTTTTTTTTCTTTATCGAACACAAATAAATAAAATGTGAAACAATAGAATAAAAAACTCCTGGATCCACAGGGATCACTTACGGAGATAGTAACTTATACAAATAAAATATGCGTTATAATAAGACAGTTTTTTAAATCATAAGTTTTGAAAAATTAAATAAATAGAAAAAAAATTTTTTTTTGATAAAAAATGGACTCCACAGAAAAATAAATATGTGTGTAATGCAATTTAAATATATGAAAATAAATAAATATTAAAAATTCCAGATCTTCAAAAATTTTGTTACCAAAAACAGAGATGGTCTTCTGCCTCCAGAAAACAACAAAATTCCCAACACTTTCCAAGAAGAAAGTTTGGAAACCCTCAAAAGAAGATTAAAAGATATTTCAGAAAAAATGGATTTATTAAAACAATTAAATGAAGAAATGCGTTCACCAATACAGCAACAAACACAAAATCACAGAACATTTCCACTTACAAAACCAGTATTTTATGGAAAGGAGGAAGAAATTGGAGAGAATAATAATTTAATTTTAGGACAAAAATCAACAGAAAAAGGTTGGAGAATTCTTTAAATTGAGAAAAAGGAAAAGGAGGATAAAAGAAAAATTATCTTAGAGAATCCCTTTCATTTTTACCCAGTCAGAAGATTTTAACTCAATCAGAGGTCACCATCATACTTTAGTTCTTTTTTGATGTAGCAAAGCAGCTGGGATATAGCTATTTCTCTCCTTTAGCTAGTACAAAAGGTTATTCGGCAGCTGGGAGCTAACCAGCATTACAATGTTAAGAAAACTTCTAATTAAAAATTTTTTTAATATAAAATTATTTTTTAAAAAAATAAACAGAAATTGACAACAAAAATAATATTTTAGAACAACAAAAACAATTATTTTTTGCTCCTTCCAAGTTTGAAAATGAACAAGGAATTAAACCAAAAATTAATTCAGAGGCATCAACAATTCCAATAAATAATGAAAATATAAATAATAAAACGGTTGAGAAAAAATTTATTTTACAGAATTTAGTTAAAGATTTTAAAAATAATATTAATCTTTAAATTCAGAGTTTTTCACCCAAAAAATTTATTTTGAAATATTTAGATTAGCAATTTGGGAACAATAAATAATTCAAATAATTTACCGACTGGTCAGAATGGACAAAAATTGCTTTTTAATGTTTTAAACAATATTATTCAACAAAAGAAAAATGAAGATATAAAATCAGCAATTAATGGACAAAAACAAAATGAAATAAATGTTGATCAAACAACGAAAATATTATTTTCTCCAAAAAATAATTTAGCAGAATTTCCAAATAAAACAACAGAAATATTAAATGAGAAAAATAATAATTCTGCAATAAATTTACATTTTTCAGAATTAAAAATAAAGCAAGAAATAAATAATTTAACGGTGAGGGAATAAAATTAAAAGCAACTTCTACGCTAAAACTAGAGTTGTTCACGACCAGTTTTAAAACCGAAAATGTTCAAATTTTTTGCCAACAATTAACCGATTTTACAAAATTAAAAATGCCGAAAACTTCTGAAAATGAGTGATTTTATTAAGAATTCCCCCCAAATAAAGCCAGTATTTGTCTAAAATTCTAAACCGAAAATCGGGTTTTTAAAATTTGGATTAACCAAAAACCGGAGGTACCGGTTAATAATTCGAGTTAAAACCTATCATTTGATTACCTGAGAGAAATTAAGGGGGAGGGAAACGAGTTGAATGTAGAAAAAATTCCATTTTTGCAGAAGCCCTTTGCCGACTTGTAGGCCCCGAGCTGGACATTTACCGAAAACCCCAATTAAATCCTCAAAACGTTTTTTTAACATTTACTCATTTTTGAAATTAAAAATTCAGCCACCCAACAACTTAGAGCTTCATCTACCTTCTCCCCCACAACTTCCTTTAAGTACACAACTACCAAATATGGATTTAACATCTTCTATTATTCCAATTACAACACAAAATTTTATGCAAAATTCCCCAAAAGAACATTCATTATATGTTCAAGGGGGAATGGTACAAAGACAACAACCACATCCATTAAATGACTTTGAAAATTTAAATTCTGCAACTAACGGTAAAATTAATGGTTAATTTTGTGGATGTATTTACTGACAATGAGTTTTTATCGAGATATATTTATGTATCAGAGAAAGAGGGCCATTTTGTGGATACTTTTGACTGTATATTCAGGATACGTCCGATCCCTTTTCGCTTTCTTTCCATTGTTACCTCAATTCGGTCCCAAGAAAAGTATTTAGTCCGCTTTAGCCCTCAACAAGGTTCGGCACGATATCGAGATTCCACTGAATAAGGAATTCCAAGAACTAAATTAGGTATTCACCAGGGTTGGCGTTAGTCTCGTATCTCATGAATCACGTGTTTCGTATTTTGTGGGATTCGGCCCACCTCTGGTATTCACCTTCAATTTCTTTTACAAAAATTCTGGTTTCAAAAATTGAAAAAAGACAAAAAAACAGAAAATTTATATTTCCCTAAGGATTACAGTCAAAATATATTCTTTAAATCTCCTTTCTTATATTAAAGTTTTGAATGATGAAGTTAAAAAAGAAAAACAACAAAAATTATTAAATGAAAAACAAATGTTGTTGTTGTCTCCATCATCTTCTTTTCCTTCTCCTTCCTCCTTTAATTTTGAACAAAACAAAACTTTAAACGAAAATTTCGAAAATATCCAACTAAATAATTCAACAAATCAACAACCAAGTAAGATAAATTTAGAAAAAAAATTTTTTTTTTGAAGAAATAAAAATATAAATAGAATTTTTGAGTATTCGGCAAATAAAAAATGGAGAAAATGAAATTGGTGGAAGTGGTGGATATTTTGTGGATGAAGAGGAGGAAGGAATTAGTAATTATTGTGGAAAAATTAATTTTAATTTGTTTTTACAAAATTTAATTGTAAATTTGTTTTTTATTGTTTATCTATCCTTTTAGTTTATTTGTTTGGGAAAATAAAAGAATTAAAAAATTTTATAAAAAAATAATTTTTTATTTTATTTATTCAAGGAAAAAATAATAATGAAAGGGATGGACACTTATTTGTTAGATCATTGTCATAATAAAATATACCGTATAACCTGTATTAATTACCCTCCCTTAAATAATTACCCCGCCTCTATTAATTACTCCTTCTAGCGGAAGGTAGAAACAATAATTACCCAGGGTAGTTATTAAAGGATATACAGTATGTTAAGTCAATGATAATAAATCACCTGATTAACTGTTAAACTAAGGTAACTGTTAAATTGTATTCTTTACTTTTTGTATGGGAACTCTAAAAAAAGGTCTAAAAAAGGTTTTCTGTGGGTTCAAATTTATGATCTCAAATTTTTCGATGGACATTTACTTCGAGTTGATATTATAAAATAATTTACACTCTGATATTCATTCGAGTATTCGAAAGGTTCTTTCATTTCTCTAAAATCTCTTCTGGTATATATATCAACCAAATATCAACCCTATTTTGGGTTCGAGCTTTAATGTTTTGACTCTCATGGGTTAATTTAAAAAATTAATCAGAAAATTCAAAAAAATCCAAAAAATTAAAAAAACTAACTATTATTGCTCTTTTACGGCTGTACTTTAGTACGTGGGTCCCGGAGTTAATATACAAATGTTATACCATTCGAAAGAGCTCGTCGAGCTGAGTCGAATGCCACAAGTTTTAGCCCGAGGAAAAATTTTTGGACCGAGATATAGGTCCCTGAAATTTGAAAAAGCATAGGGGGGACCAAGCACTTTTTTGGGGTGAAAAATTCGAAAATGCAAATGATACCTCATTCGAAAGAGCTTCTCGAGCTGAGTCGAATGACAACTAAATCAACGAAATCCGACATGATTGGACAAAGTTATGATTTTTTCTTTTAGCTCCTTACCTATGGCATCTGTGGAGATTTTTGCTGCTACAGAGGCCCCAAATACGACCAGATCAAGGGAATTAGGAATAGGTTTATGTTACGAGCCCAGACCCAGCGCCCGTAGACACCCCGCGAGGCGCGTGCCGCAAAACCCCGCGCGAAGCGCGGGGTTTTGCACAAGCGCCTCGCCGACGCTCCATAGGTTAAGGTTTTTGTTTTTTGTGTCATAACTTTGTCTAATCTTGTCCAATCACGGCGATTTTGGTGTCATTCGACTCAGCTCGTCGAGCTCTTTCGAATGAGTTATTATTTGTTTAAAAAAATTTTATTCCAAAAATCGCCCCTTTGGATCTTCGGTTTTCAGGGGCCTATATCTCGGTCCAATCAAGTCGCATTTCGTTGATTTTGGTGTCATTCGACTCAGCTCGAGGAGCTCTTTCGAATGAAGTATCATTTGCATTTTCGAATTTTTCACCCCAAAAAAGCGCTTGGTCCCCCCTATGGTTTTCGATTTTCAATCGCCTGTATCTCGGTCCAAAAATTTTTCCTCGGGCTAAAACTGGTGGCGTTCGACTCAGCTCGGCGAGCTCTTTCGAATGGTATAACATTTGTATATTAACTCCGGGACCCACGTACTAAAGTGACCCCTCTTTTACTCAGTACGCAAATTCTTTTCGATATTTTGAATCCGCAAAATTGGTCCGCAAGATTCGCGCCACGAGATTTTTAATATATAGGACAATTTTAAGTTATAAAAATATAATTAAGGTAATTTAAGCTTAGTACATACATGGCTTAAGTAAAATGTTTTTTTAAATAGAGATTTGATTAAGTCTTATTATTTTTATAAGCTTTGAACCTTTAAATAAAATACTCTCCAATCAATTTTAGTTTTTTTTCTCTCAATTTTATTTAAGTGAAAGTGGGAATTTTCCGAAGATTATCCTGTTATTGTCACAAATAAAAATCTTTTTCTGATTAAGAGCCTTATATTTTCTTACTGTAATTTAATTTTTGGCGTTTTGATTTTTAAAAATTTTTAGGAAACTGGAGTTTAATTGTTCTGAAATTTTATTTTAATCTTTTTATTAAAAATTTAAATAGATTTTCTGTTATTTTATTCGACATTCTCGATTTTTAAAAAATATATTTAATTGTAAATTGTGTGTGAAAGCTTTTACATTTAGTCATTAAAATATAAGGAAGTAATTTCTTCACAATTTATTTCCCACAAAAAAACTTATCATCATTTTTTACACATTTTTATACTTTAAACTTTGATGTTGATGCCAAAATTAGTTTTTTTTTCTTCTTTCCTTTCATTCCTATCAATCTTTTGTTAGAAGGATTTTCGATCCTTTGGCTAACATTCATCTAAAAATAATTTTTTTAGACAATTTAATCTTTTTTTTTCTACAAATATCCAAAAATCCTTGGTTGTCATTTCTTCCATATATTAAGTATTTTTACATGTTCCTCCCAGAATTTTGCACTTACAGGCCTAGTAACACCATATTATTTTCTACATTAACTCTCATATTTTTAGCATTATTTTTCTGTTGTTGTATATTGATTTAAAGCGACACTTCCCTTACAGCGAGAGACTAAAAATGCTATAGTAAAGGCCTATTCCCCCTACTTTTTTCTTCTTATATCGCCCGTTGCTACCCGACTGACGATATAAAACACGCCTTTATTGTCAGCGGCAGAAGAGGCTTTTGCCTGCTGTCCCTTTTTTGTGTGTTCTCGTTTCTAATTAATCGATTAATTCTCGAAGTAAAACTATTTGTGTGAGCTATTTTACATGGACTTGTGTGTGTGTGTTATTTTATAAAATATAAATTTTCCCTCAAGGTGTGATACTTTAAATAAAATTTTTTTCTTTCTCAGTTAGCTGATCCACCAACCATTTTTTTTTCATTAAAAATCTAAATTTGTTATTTCTGTGTTTCATTTATTGTAGTAAAAGGATGAATCAAAATAAGAGATTACAGTATTCACAAGTTTGTTGAAATTGTGAAAGTTTTGAATAAAAAATAATATTTTAAAGGATGTGCACACAGTTAGGGCAGCAACGCCTACTTCCGGAACGGAAAGAAATATAGGCATGTTAATTAGAAAATTAAATCTTTGATTGGAGTTTGTGAGAATTTGAAGGGTTTCGAGTAGTTTTGAACTCGAACTTTTTCTTGTTGGGTTGCCTGAAAGGTGTTGAAATTCCTCTTAAAATTAAACTACTCGAACAATTATTCGGTTACTTTTATAGTTTTTTACACACTAAGAGATCTGGGGGGGGGGGGGTATTCCAATATCCGCCATTTGCCAGAAATGACAAACCATCGCCATAAAATGGCATTGGCAATTGGCGGATATTGGAACAGAAAGCCGCCATTTCCCATTGAAAATATTGAAACAGACTTTTCTGGCGATGGCAAACCATCTCCATTTAGGCGATGGCAAATGACGGAGGGGGCCCCTATTCTGAATTAAATTTCCAAAAAATCTAAAGCCCTAGCTTGACATTTTTTCTCATTTTATTATTTTTTCCAGACTTGCAATATGCAGACTCCAAAGTTATTGGAAATGGGTCTTTTGGAGTTGTTTATCGAGCTAATTTGGTAAATCTTAAGAGAAAAAAGAAATTTTAAATCAATTTTTAGGTTCATTCAAATGAAGATGTTGCAATTAAAAAAGTTTTACAAGACAAACGGTTTAAGGTTTTTTTGAATTTATTTTTGTATAAAAATATTTTTTTCTTCAAATTTTTAGAATCGAGAACTTCAAATTATGAGAAAACTAGACCATCGAAATGTTGTCAAATTAAAATATTTTTTCTATTCTGCCGGTGACAAGAAAGAAGAAGTTTATTTAAATTTAATTTTGGAGTATGTACCTGAAACTGTTTATAGAGGTTTGGTTATTTAAATATATTGCTTATAGACCTATATAAGAGTATTGTTGTTGGGGCCCATTTTTAAAATCAACCATTTAGTCCAAATAGGTCAGCCAATTGTCTCATTCTTTGATAAAATAAAAATTGCTAATTCAAAGCAGGGATGGGACGGGTTGAGAAATCAGTCGGGTCGGGTTTTGGAATTTTTCTTTGGTTGGGTTTCGGGTCGAAAAAATGTTCGGGTTTCGTCCCATCCCTGATCCAAAGGAATAATTTGAAAAACTCTTTACTAGTCCTTTTTGTTCTTCTCTTGTCCTAAATGCTAATCCTTTTTTCAAATTGTTAACTAGAATTATTCTTAATTTATAGAGATCGGCACAGGACTGGCCCTGCACAGGATTTTTCAGGATCCTGTCCAAAATCCTGCCTTTTTTCAGTTTTCAGGATTCCAGGATTTTCATTATTAATCCTGCAGGATCCTGTCCTTTTCGAAATTTTAAAACCCAATCCTGATACAGGATCCTGCAAATGCGATTACCCGATCTCTATTAATTTACTTATTTTTATAACTTTTTAAATTACTTGACTGATTGAATGCCGTAAATAATTTATATAAATTTAGCAGGTAAGTGTGAGATTATATTTCCAACTTTGTGTTTGACCCGATTAGGAAAACTGACAAGAAATATTTTTTATTCAACTAAAACTAGTTTGTGTTCCCATCTTTTGGTTGATTTTTCTTCATCAATTTCCCAATAAAAAATATTTTCAGTTGCTCGTCATTATGCCAAACAAAGGCAGATAATTCCAATTCTTTACAATAAAGTTTATATGTACCAACTATTTCGTGCTCTAGGATATATCCACAGCATTGGTTATTTTTAAATAAAGTTTTTTATTTATCAATTTTTGTTTTTTTAGGTATTTGCCATCGTGATATAAAACCTCAAAATTTACTTTTGAATGCTCAGACTTCTGTTTTAAAGGTTTTTAGTTAAAATTATATTGAGTTATATTTTAGTGGTCCTATTTGACTAGATTTGCGGACAAAATTTTACGTATACGTCTTTCGTAAAAATATTAAAAATATGTAGATATTAGAGATCAAGCTGGGTCAGGATCAAGGCCAAGGTTTTTCCTGTGCCCAGAGTCCAGCCCCATGCATTTTTCGACTTTCCTAGGTTCTTCCTGGGCCTGGGTTTCCTGGACTGCATGCCCAGGATCCGGCCCAGGTTAATAAATCAAAGAATCCAGGAACAGGCCAAGGCGTTCCAAAAATCTTGATCTTTAGTAGATATATATATATTTTCACTTCAGTTCTTACTTCTTTTATCCAAAGATTTAGCATAAAATAACAACTTTTCCGTGAACAAAATTGTTACTATTTAATTTTTAGCTTTGTGATTTTGGATCAGCCAAAATGCTTGTTCCAGGAGAACCAAATGTCGCTTATATTTGTTCTCGGTTTTATTTTTTATTTTGATTTAAACGTTCATTTTTTAAGTTATTATCGCGCTCCAGAATTAATTTTTGGAGCGACTGACTACACAACAAAAATTGACGTTTGGTCAGCAGGCACTGTTTTGGCCGAACTTCTTTTGGGGCAGGTTTGTATATTTTCAGAGAAATTAAAATTTTTGTTATATTTTTAAAATTTTATGGGGTTTTCGTATGTCCTAGTGAGACATGAAACTTCCTAAATTTGCTCTGTTATCCCTTTATTTATCTTACATAAATACCTTAAAATTTAAACTTTCAATTTTTAGCCTTTCTTCCCTGGCGATTCTGGTATTTACTCTTTTTTTGTTTTCTCTGTAAAATAAAAATTGCAGGAGTTGACCAGCTTGTAGAAATAATTAAAGTATTGGGAACACCTTCGCGTGATGAAATTGAACAAATGAATCCAAATTATACAGAATTTCGTTTTCCAATGATTCGTGCTCATCCTTGGTCGAGGGTAATTTTCATTTATTTAAAAATTCAAGAAAAAATCTTTTAAGGTTTTCCGTGCACGTACACCCGCAGACGCAATCGATCTAGTCTCGAAATTGTTGAAATACACTCCTGATGCTCGTTTGAGGTTTTTTAAATTTTCATTTTTTCAAATAAATTTTCTTTTTTTAAAGCCCGTTCGAAGCACTAGCTCACGAGTTTTTCGATGAATTGCGGCTGCCGAATTGTAAGTTGCCCTCTTCTAATCCAATGCCACCATTGTTTGATTTCTCCGATGCTGAATTGGCTATTGATCCGCAACTTCAGGATAAGGTTTGGAATTTTTAGGGAGAGAGTTTGGGCAACGATCAGTGTAATCCTTTCCAAATCATTAAAAGGGGCAAAATTGGCCAAAAAGAGGCGAAAAGGTGACATATAAAAAATAGGGAAAAAAGGGGCGAAAAAGTCAAAAAGGGGGAAATGCCCCCTAAAGGACCCTGGTAACGATTTGTTATTCTCTCACAATGAGTTAACCATTACTTTTACTATAATTACTCTTTGTTAAAAGGACCGGCAGAGGTCTTTTTCATATTTTGGAGGACCCTATCCCTGAACCAATTTTAAATTTTAAAAATTCTCCACCCTCTGTTTTTAAATGAAAATTTTTTCCGATCAGCATTTTTGAAGCACTGCTTTTTCAAAATTTAGGATTTAATCTATTCCTTAATTTCACTAATAAATTTTTTCTTTTAGCTTTTCCCCAAATATGCAGCACAGCAACAAGTTTGTAGTACACCAAGTTTGGCAACTGGCTCAATGGAGAATTTTACCGGGGTTGGTGGGAATGTTATAAAAATTTAATTGAATTTATTTCTTTTTTAATTTAATCTCAATTTTTAGGGCGGTAACCACAAAGTAGAGCTAGAAGCAAAAGGAGAAATGTCTTCAACTTCAGAACACCAAGAGAGAGTATCAACAGAATTAGATAACAGAAAAAAATCTTCCTCAACGCCAGGAGGAGGTTTGGAAGCTGTAAATACAGCCACATCTTCTGTTATCAATACAAGTTCTGTTGCGAATACTTCAGATTATGTTACATCTTCTGCTCCATTGCAAGGATAAGAGTTAAGGGGAAAGGAAAAATTTTTATTTGGCATTTGACTTTTTTTGGGGAGAGAGTGAAAATAAGAAAAGGAGAGAAAAAAATAAAAGAAAAATTAATTTTCTGGTCGTCAATCAAAAAATAAAAAATAAATCCAAAAATTACCTCTTTTTTGGCCAACTTTCCTTTTTTTCTTTTTTTTGTTGTTTATTTTGCATTTATTTAAAAGTTACAGAAAAGAGAAATTTATTAGATAATTTATTAAATTGAAAAATTCTTCAAAAAATCACCGTCAAAGATGAAAACCGTTACACCTTTATGTTTAGTTTTTTTTATTTCAATTTAAAACTTAAGTCGTTCGGAAATGGGGGGGGGGCGGGATCTTCACCGGGCAGAATGGTGAAGAACAACCACAAAAGTAATTTTCACTCTGTAACTTTTTATGTGTAATATCCACATACATAAATATATTTAAACTTAATGTTTAATCTTTTATTAGGAATTAAATAAAAGCCATTTTTCAAAAAGAGGTATTTTTCAAAAAAAATTTCGGAAACAAAAACACAATTCTTTCTTTTACTACTATGTATATTATATATTTCATCACCTCCTTCTTTCCCTTTTCTTTTGACTTGTATTTTTTTTTGTCTTTTATCTTTAAAAATAAAAAATTGCCATTCACGGCAACTTTCTTAAAAAAATTTAAAATTCAAAAACATGGATTTTTTCTCACTCAAAAATATATAATCATCTTTATATTTTCAATTTGTGTTAACATTTGTACGTTATTTTAAAGTATACTTACATATGTTTGCACGATAAATAAATGTGGATAGTGTTTTGTATTTATTAGGGTTGTTCCCAGTTATGCGGGGTTCCGGAACTGGAACCGATAGATGCCTGGAACCGGTTTGGACCCGTGTTCCGAAACCGGTTCCGGTTCCAGAAGTAGAATTGGAACCGCCAAAATTAAAAATCCGTTCACTTGTTGCGAAGTTTTTAAAGAATTTATTTCCAGTGAATTTTTGGTTTTCGGAATCCAATACAAGGATCTTTTGGTAAACATAATAATTAGAGGCCGGACTTTATTGGAATTTATTTCCTCGTTTCCATGGAAACGAGTTCAATTATTTTTCTTTTTCTCTTAAAAAGTCCATGATTTAAAAAACTTTCTAAATTAATATTTTGTGAAATAAATTTAGATTAGAGAAGTATTTATATATCAATTTATCACAACATGACGATACCAATTATGTATCACACACAGAAAACAAATAGTTACAATACTATGATATGTATTAGATTAATTTTATATTAGAAATTCGATTTATCAGGATAATTCTCTTTCTCCGCACAAGTATCGTCCTAGCGTGTTATTGATGCTCACAGCAGCTTAGCCACGGCTACTAAAAATTCAAAAATTGTTTTATAAACAAGTCTCAAAACTTACCGTGATAGTCCGCCTTTTGCTCATGTCTTACCAATCTCATCACGGACACTAAAACGGAATTTTTTGCAATTTTTATGTAAAGCGAAAAAATTCACCGTTAAAGAACATCACGGGCACGATTAACATCCTTTTCGTTTACAATCCCACTGCGGACAGCCAGCTCAGGAATAGTTTAAAAAGAAACTGCGATAGGCGATTCAGAATATCGTAACGAGTATCCTTGCACAACAATAAAGTAGCAGAACAAAAATGTGTTTATTACACAAAAAATATGTACAATAAGGTTGAATAGAATAAGGTTGGGATAACAATTAAAAGACACGGACTGACAATTAAGTGTGGCTTTTATAGTATTTTAATAAGGTTTAAATATTAGCCACCACTACAGAACACCTCCCTCTTTGAAAGGCTTATTGGATGAGAAAAAATTAGTTTTCGTAATTTGTAGATTTTTAAGGCTAATTAATAAAGACACAAATCAGGGATGTCACGCGGAGTCACAGTTGAGTTCTCAAAAATTTTCTCGGATTCGAAAAAGGGACAAGTCAAATATGTACCGAAAACCTGGCTAGAACTCTTTTTATTAAAGACAAATCAAATCTTTATAACGAGTCATAAAAATAACTTTAGCAGATTAAAAAAATACATATTTAAAAACCCGTTTCAATTTTTTAAATTATAATTTAAAAAACAATTTTAAAACAACATTAAAAAACTATTTAAATTCTCTTAATCTCTTTTTAGCTAAATTTTTAATTTCTTCAAATTGCCCATTCTTTAAAGGAAAAATATCGTTTGGTCCAACAATTATACCTCCCCTAGTTGATTGAAAACATTCAAGCATTTCGTTCATTTCTAAAATAAAAAATAACGACAAAAGAAACAATAATTTCCTCATTTCCCAAGAAAAAATTTTAAATAATTCTAATCTTAAAAAGATATAACTTTAAGTTTATGTGCCCCGTAAACTTACTTGGAATACAATTATTTTTCAAATTATTGCTGTCACAAATTAACATAAATTGATATTTCGCTTTTGATAATCCAAAATTCCAATTTGTTAATAATTTTTGATGATCATTCTCCGCACTAGAAAATTCATTGTCCAAAAATGCACGAATATAAACCGAAAAATGAAGTCCAGAAAGCATTCGCGGGACTCGACTGCAAATTCGTTTGGATTTGGATAAATTATGTGGCCAAAGAATTCCTAAAAGATTTTGAATAAATTTATCTTTTCTCCCCTTCATTTTCTATCTCTAATCAACATTGTAGAATCAAGGACATAACAGGTCTTATATATAGTTTTTTAATTTGAGAAGCTGGCAAGGGCGTAGCCAGGGGGCTTTTGGGGCTAAAGCCCCCTCGAAATGGGGAAAATTTGAGGACGGTATCGAGCAGAAAAGTCAAAAAAACTAATCTTCGCCTGCGGCGCTGAAAATGGAAGAAATCTGGCCTCTTGACTTCCAATTTTAAAAAAATTTTCGCCTGCGGCGCTAAAAAATATAGTTCAAAAAATTGCGTAAGAACGCCAGAGTAAACGCCTAAATTTTGGCGCACCCCAAAAAGACAAGGCTTTTCGATTATTCTCCAGATTCGTGAGTGTCCCCTATAAAATCAAACATTTACCAAAAACTTCTTCCAAAATAAGATGATGATAAAAACTGCTCAAAGGGCAAGCAATTTCCTTTGGATCAATTCCATTATCAATTAAAAGATTAATGTGTTGGGCAGTTATTAGAGCCATTCCCCAATTTCGAAAAGCTTCGTATTTATATTGGACATTTGTAATAGCAACCTTTTCTGACTAAAATTGAGTAATTAATTTTCAAAATTGGATATAGTGTAGTGTACCGGTGGTAAAAGTTCGAGACGTGACATATGTCATTCGATTCGTCTCGACGAGCTGAGTCGAACGGTCCACTCTCAACTTTAGGAAATGATTCTGGGCCGAGTTATAGGTCCCGAAAAATTGAAAAACAAAAGAGGGGAGTAAGGTCGATTTTGGGGTGAAAAATTCGAATATGCAAATAATAGCTCATTCGAAAGATTTGAATGATTTGAAAAAAAATTTGAAAAAAAATTATTTGCATATTCGAGCCGAATGACACAAAATCAGCTTGATTGTAAAAGTTTGGACAAAGTTACAATAGAAAAACAAACAACATAAACCTATGGGGCGTAGGCGAGATAGTTAAGGAGCTAAAACAAACAAGCATAACTTTGTCACATCAAGTCAGATTTTGTTGATTTTGGTGTCATTCGACTCAGCTCGTCGAGACGAATCGAATAACACATGTCACATCCCGAACTTTTACCACCGGTACACTACACTACAGCGTCAAAATTTTTAAATTAAAAAAACCTCAAACATTGATTCCTTCCATCCCCCTTCCAATCTGCTAATATCAACCAAAACTAAAGGTTCTGTCACCAATTTTATTGTGTTTTTTATGTTAGGCTTCAAAATTTCATTCAAATTCATCTTCTCAACAAATTTAGTGGCAGGGATAGTTTTCCTTTCTTTATAAAAAACAGAATCTCCCCAAGCACGAATTGCTGGATTTGAAGTATATTGACGGTTAAGATGAAAATTAACATTAGAATCAACATCAAAATCTTCATCAAGTCTTTGAAGGAGAGTCTTGTTATAATCTAACTTTGATTGTTCATTTGATATTTTTTGACTATATTGACAATAATCTCCAAATAATCTGACAAAAGGTGACTGAAAAATTAAAATTTGAAGTTATAGTAAAGCAGCTGGGCTATAGCTATTTATCTTCTTTAGCTAGTACAAAAGGTTATTCGGCGGCTGGGAGCGAACCAGCATCTTCAGTAGACCGGACTGATGTGTTAGCCATTACACCACGCCGCCTACTGCTCAGCCTTAGGAAATTAATAGCTATATGCTTTATGTCGAAAATTTCTTGGAATTTTCGTCAAAGGATGAAATTAATTAAATTATTAATTTTTCCGTTCCTATTTTTTATGACATCACTTTTAGTGATCGTTATCGCCTATTTCGCTCTTTCTCTCTTTTTTCCATAAATGGATAAATTTATCCATTTTATCTTAAATTCCAATCTAAAATTATTAATAATTTCAATCCAAAAGGAAAAAAAGGGAGAAAAGTGCACTTCCGCCCAACTTTTTAACCGCAAACATATAATTTTAATGCCTTTACTTTTTCCATTGCCCACATTCCATACCACACACATCGTTTCTGGCCTATTTAAACACAATCTTTTTCCCCACTTTTCATGTTTTGACATACCCACAAATCTTTTCTATTCCAACGATTCAAATAAAACACACACACATACAATTATAAATTTCTTTAATTAAATAAATATTTTTTAACATTCTTGTATTTTAATATTCTTTGATAATATTCTGTGAATATTCTTAGTGAATATTGAGCAATTGTTCGTCTATCGTCTAAACTTGGCCATCCATCCAAAACTTTCGCCTATTCGCCTAACATTCTTTAAATTGGTTTGCCTTGCCACGTCTTAATCTTTGGGATTAAGACGCTCATCGACTTCAACACACTTTCGACTATTGTTTTTAGCGGCGAACGACCTAGTTCCCTTTTGGGAATCCCGACCTAGGAAGTTCCCGTTACTTTACATTATCATATTCCTCAATTTCATTTTTTCAATTTAAAAATTAAAATTTTTCTGGCCCCTCAATGCAAAAATAATAAAATTAATTTGCAGTCATTAAGTTAAAATTTTGTGCCAAGCATGAAAAATGATTGTATTTTTGGAATACTAGAACGAGCGTCCCAAAGCACTCTTTTTTTATGTTGAAAAAAATATCGAGGAAGGACAGCATAAGAGATTTTAGATAACTCCCCATATAAAAATATAATGAAATTGAGGAAGGAATGTCTGATTAATATGCAAATTGAGGAAGGAAAAAAGGAAAAACGAAATTCAAAATTACCCAAAAACCTTTATAAATTCAAAACAAACCGTTTTTAGAATTACGTGCCAATTCTCTTGTTCATTTAGTCTTTCAGCATTGTCAACAATTACTCCACTAAATTTAACACCAATTCGTTCTAAAAATTGTAGTCTTGAAAAGCTAAATGTTAAAAACACAAATCGCCTCTTTTTAATAAATTTGCTAATTTCCTCGTCTATTAAACCAATCATGTGTTGAGTCAATGAAGAATTTTTCTGGTTCCTTTAAATGTTAAAAATTCATATCTAAATGAAGCCAAACATATAAAGAATCAACTATACAAAATAATTGCCCCGAATCTTAACAACATTCTTAAAACAGAAAAAAGTTTGTGGATACCTCTTTGTAAAAAAATCTGACCGCATTTCTGAAACACTGTCTATCCCACCACAGTCTCGACCTTGACATTTCAGTCAAGTGCCCGTCCCGTAAGAAATTTTTTAATAAGTAAAATGATGTTAATCTGATAGAGCAGACTCAGGGCTACAAGTGAGGTGGGGTAACACCTTCCAACAATATTTTCAAAATCTTTCCTAACAAAACCCCCAACTTTCATCCACAAAAAATTAATATAAAAACCTTCTTTGACTCCTCAATATTTTCAATTCTTCAGAAATCCTTAAAGTCCCTTCATCGTAAATCCTTTGAAAATTATGAAAACTAGCCATTTTTACAAGTTGTAAAACATTTTGATTTTTTATAGAAAAATATGAACCAGCCACATTAAATTCAATCATACTAATAAAAGGTATTTCTTTCAACATTTCTTTGCTAGCAATAGAACAATAAAGGTCAATAAGTCGATAAAGTGAAGTAGTTGAAGGTGAAATAACGGCAATAGGCATATCTTTAGATTCGTCAGATTTTGACAAAATATCCAAATATTGAGCCAAAAGAAGTGTTTTGCCTGTTCCTGCCGCTCCATGAACGGCAACTATTGGACGCTTTTTATTTAGTAAAGCAGAAAGAGCAGTTAATTGCGATGAGTCATAATTCTAAGAATAAAGAAAATTAAAAAATTATTTTTAAAGGCCGTGATTTCATTGTTCATCAAGTCCGCTGAAATTATAAGATAAATCCAAAATCCAAAGTAAAATCAAAAAAAGGGTACTTGTGGATTCTCCCAAACCAGTTTTTGCGGACTCATTCATGCGTTGTACCGAAAGGTCTTATTGATGCTCTCATTAAAGAAGTGCCACAGAGAAAATTGAGTGAAACGAGCAGGGAAGAACCATTGGCCTTTCCGTACATAAATATCCGGAAAACTGGTTTGGTTAACCTACAAGTACCAAAAAATGTTAACCTTGTAAAGAGGCATAAATCTATTAATATCCGGATCATCCCCAAAATTAGGCATTTTTTTACATTTGAAGGCATAAAGCATTGCATCATAACCTTTGTATTTAGTAAATTCTTCTCGATTTGCAAATAAATTAATTGCCTTTTTCAATGAGTAATTTTGGCTTAAACGAATATCAAAACATTTTCCCTGAAAATTAGAACAATTGAAACTATTTTGTAAAATTTTCTCACATCTCCCAACTCCCCCCCCCCCCCCCCCCCCCCAAGAAATTCAATTTAAAAATAAACCTTAATATTTCCACGCAAATTAGAAGCATCAAAAACAAAAATATTTGTTTTAAATAAAAGATAGTAATTTGATAGTCTTAAAAAAGCACATTCAATAATTGTATCATTATTTGATTCCAGAATTTTCAAGTCAATATTTCTACCAGCATTAAGATTCAAAAGACGTAAAGAAGAAAGTTGTGATTTTGACAGCTTAAAAATAAATTATTGAAAATAATGATAGGAAAAATTGAATTTGTAAGTTTAGGAGTAATAAAGCTGGGTGCAAAAGTAATGCCCGTTACGGATACACCGCGATGTACCGCGAGCCCAATGTACCACCAAACTAAAACTTTGTTTAAAATTGTCGAATCCGTGGCGCCCTGGCATGGTTCGTGCGTTTCGACCAGCTGAATCGAACATAACAGGGCGCCACGGATTCGACAATTTTGGACAAAGTTATAGCTCGGCGGTACACTGGCCTGCTCCCGAAAACAACATTATCGGTACTCTGTTCATATCTCCTCTCCTATTTGAGACTCAGATTATTTTCCTTCTTTGCTGTCAATCATTAATTTCTCAAAAATAAGGCAAATTATTAGGAAGGAAAAAATAGTCGACAACAGTAAAATCCCGTGGCAGAAAATAACAAAAGGAAAGTTAATCTGAGGATATAAGCAAAATACCAGATTATTAAATATAAAAAACAAACATTTTTAGTTGATAAAGTAATAAATGCACTTGAAAGTTGTTTAAAATCAATACATTCCAAAGATAACCCCATCCATTGGTTTTGTAGTTGATTTGAATTTTCTGTGAAATCAAAACCAAGTTTAATTCCTTTCTCCCATCTTTGTAAATTTTGTTCAATTTCATTGGGAATTAAATTACTTGTTGATTGGATATTATTTTCTTTTAATTCATTTATGTTTTTTAAATAACGTGAATAATGAAGAAAACGTAATTTTGTGAGAGATGAAGGAAAATTTCGATAATTTGTTTTGCAGACATTAAACATCTAAAATGGAAAAAAAAATTTAAGTTTAAGTCAACCTGGGAGAACATGAAAAAACACTTTCCAGTTTCAAGTTTGGCAAGGATGAGAAAAGGGGCACACCTGAATTGAGTACCGGACACTCGCAGCAGGACGAATAGGCGCGGCCAAATAGGCGCGGACGAATAGGCGCCATTTTTTCGGCGCAGCCTATTTTCGGCGTTTAAGGCAAAAACGCATAAACACATAAATTTACGCGAAAAAAGTTTTTGCCGCTGCGGAGGAAGCCGGGCATGTCGAGCGGAACGACGGCCGCCGCTTCGCTACGGTCGCCACGAGCATTGCGAACACGCTCGTTGCGCTACGGTCGCCGCGAGGACGACCGCAGCGAAGCACGGCCATCGTGTAGCGAAGACCATGCCCGGCCTACCCTCCGTAGCAGCACAAAAACAGTTTTTCCAGCGAAGATCCTGTTGGTCATAAGTTTGTGCATAATTTCGAGTCAAGCTGGTTTCGGTATCATCGACTCAGCTCGTCTAACTCATGCAAATGAGCTATTATTTGTATATTTAAATTTTTTCCCTCGACGCCAAAAACATGCTGCGCCGAAAAAATGGCGCCTATTCGGCCGCGCCTATTAGTCGTGTACCCCGGACACTTACTTATGAAGGATGGTCACTTTTTTTGTTCTTGTACCAATGGACAGGGCATTAAATAGGCTACAATATACGAAAAATCAAAATTCCTGACCGACTGGTAAAAAATTTATGATCGACAAAGTGCCGGAAAATTAGATTTGTTTGAACATGAAAAATTATCACGAACATTAAAAATTAAGTACAGCCCGAAAAGGCGCGGACCAAAAAGGCGCGACCGAAAAGGCGCGGACCAAAAAGGCGCGACCGAATAGACGCCGGTCGATTAAGCGCCCAGCTTTTTAATTAAATATTCTGATTATAATCAATTAGAATGGTTCCATTTGTTAGAATGGTCCCATCAATGGGACCATTCTGAATTATAAAACAAAAATTTCCAAAAAAAATTTTGAAATAAAAAGTTTCCAAAATTAAAAAAACTTGAAAAGTTTCACGACCAAAGACCAGAATACGATCATTATCTCCTTCTCCACTGTCTACTAAAATAAACTGCTCGAAAACTCCAGGCTCTGATTCATAACGTCAGTATTTGTCCGGGATTATCAGAATCAATCTATTTTCAGGATTTTGAGGCTCACCGAGCTCTTTCGAATGACATATGTATAAATCATCTATTTTTAGATCACGTTACTAAAGTGCAGTTACAGTGGCGGAAATTTACTTTAGACCGATTGAATTTTAGGCGTCGCGAGCTCACATTGAGACAAGTACAATGTTCTCTCGCGAAATATCTCTCATTGGCCGTCGTGCCATTCCTTTCACATACAATAATAAATAAATGGTTTTTACACTAAACTTAGTCATTTTTCTTTCTTTTGCAGTCTAGGAAGATAATGATCGTCAAAAAGCCAAGCCACTTTCCCCGACAGAAGAAAGAAGATAACCGCCCAACTTATTCAATATATAAGAAAATGGCTTAACCGATTTTTTGTTATTTCAATTTATTTTCAATTAATATAATTTCTATTTATTTTGTAAGGCATATCCTCAAACTTGCCCATTCGGCGCCCCCAATGAGCGTAAGGCTCATCAGCCATTCGTGGCATTAGGTATTAAAAATGATAATTTGAAATTTAGTTTTCCCCCAAGGCCTAATGACTCACCAGACGACTTGGACCAGATGGAACTTGTGCTTTCGGCTGCAATCACTGCTTGTGCTGATCGGGTGGAGACAGAAATTGAACGCATCACGATCATCACTCAGCTTGAAGTGTTGCCTGGCGCCGCTACAGCTGGTACCGCAAATGTTCGAGTGAGGCACGTGGTTGAAAGGAAGGAGGATTTGGTGTATATGAGCAAACTTTGGAGGGAAGATCAACCAGTACATGTCCGGTTGGCTGCCCCTGAAGCAAAATACTGTGGAACTGGGTATATTGTCAACACTGAGCGTCTAAAGGCCAGGTAGGTTACATATTAGAGTCTCAATTATTTTTAGCGTACCAAGAGGCTCGTAACTACGATGCCTGGGAAGACTGGGAGAGGGTGATGAATGGGGCTGCTACTGAGGTAGAGCCTCTTCAGTCCAAGAGAACATTATTGCAGCGGGCAACTAAGTTTGCCATGGGTGAGTTCACGGAAGCAGCGAGACTCCAGACAGGTTTGGGTGTAATTATGTCTGTGCTTTTGGCACAGAGGAGCAGTCGGCTCCAAGATTCGGATGGGCTGAGCTTTTCGAAGCTCATAATCCCGTTTTAAATGATTTAGTAGGTGCTCAACAGCAGGCAGCCATGCTTATGCTCGACAGCCAGCCCAAGGTGGTGTTTATGCAGGCACCCCCTGGGACTGGGAAAACCAAAGCCTCGGCAGACATCATTGCTGCCTACCTGAGGGAGCATGAAGAGGCTGTGGCCTTGATTATTGCTCCATTGAACGTGGCCGCGGCCAAGGCCGTGGAGGAGATGATGCGGACTATGGAACGGACAGGTTGGCACAGGTTGGCATGAATAAATTTTGGCACTTTTTCAAGAAGTGGTAAGCAAAAATATGCCCGGGACCTGGAAAGAATTGGTGACCAAGTGCTGGCCTCAGCGATCAGTGCACCGCAGCTGTTCGAGACTCTGGATGATCAACAGAAAAATGTTGTGAACCGGTACATCCGAGCCTGCCGTTTCCCCCGGCATGGCCAATGAAGGTAAGGTAGCCCAAATTTTACTTTCAAAGGAAAAGCGCCGCATAGTGTACTGTATTGATGGATGAACAAATTGGCGGATTGTTTGAAGATACTACGGTAATTGTTTGCGACGAAGCTGGTCAGGCAAGTTTCGCAATTTTTATCAACTTTAACAAATTTCCCTAAGCCAAATAAACTTTTAATAGCAGGGGATAGGAGGCAGTTATCTATCTATTTAGGGAGTTCCCGGAGGCAGTGTGCAGCGGACTCGGTTCACAGGTACGGTAAGAGTAATTTGTTTTTACGCAGGTCAGGCCAAAGAAGTGGGTGTTGCGTTGGCTGAATGTGAAATGGCGGACGTGATTGTTTCGACAGCTGATTGATGCCAAGGACACGAAGCCGACCTGGCCATCGTCGTGACAACAAAGGCAGGATTAACAACTGTTGATGGAAGTGGTTCGTTTTGGAATGATGAAAGAAGAGTCAACGTGGCGTTGAGCAGAGTAAAATTTGGAATGATTGTGATCAGCGACTTCAAAATGCTGTGGACTGCAAGTGGAATCTGGCGCCGCTTCTTGAAGAAGGCTTTGGAAAAGACCGTGGCAGTGACATCAGACTACATTGAAGTGATGGCAGAACCGGAGGCAGAATATGAAAATGGAGTGCTTGTTGGACCAAATGGAACTGTCAGAGCATCAAACTTCTATGATGAATGGAAAGAACATGACAGCAACATCAGTCAAGAAGCACCATCAAATGAATTCGTCGCCACCTTGGATTTAGACAACCATCAACATCACAGCCGTCAACATGCCGAAGGAGTGGACAACAAGCCCGACTTTGTCATCGATGCCGACGTTCTGGACACCTAGCGAAAGACTGCTTGTAGAACTCACAACCACGAAGGAACGAACGTGGAAGAGGCAAAGGACGACGCTGAAAATGGCACTAATGCTTCCTGACCCCCGTTTACATTGTAATTTTTTAAAAATTTTATATTAATTTCCCCAAAAATGATTCTAATTAAATTTAATACCTCATCTTACTTGTATTTTTTAATCATACCTCAAAATTTGTATTTTAATTATTTTTTAGTGATATTTTTTACACAAATTTATGTTAGACTTACGTTGTAGTTTTTATTTCAAATTTACATATTTTTTTATGTATGGTAATATTTTACTTTATTTTTATCTCAAATTTCTGTTTACCTCAAATTTATATTTTCTCTTTATAGTGATATTTTTTTATTTCACATGTATATATTCCAATACCAATTTTTTAAACTTTAATGTATTAGTCATTTAAATTTTAATTATTTTTATCCACAATTTTTATTTCATTTTTAATCACCTCAATTTTTATCTTTTTATTTCTTACTTTTCCAAAAAGATATGCCTTCCCTACTAAAACAATTTTTCCATTCCATTCATCCCTCCAAAAACAACAAAAGAAAAGAAACAAAAATCTAAACTACAAAAAGAATCATCAAAAGCTTCAAAAAAAGAGAGAAGTAGAAGAATTAAAAAAAGAAGTAAATTCTAAAAAAGGAAATAAATAAAAGTAAAGCAACAAGAGCAATCAATACTTGAATTTAATAAAAAAGAAGAAAAGGAATTAAAAAAAAGAATCATCAAGAAAAAGAGAAAACAACAAAAGAAAAGAAATTCATCAAACTTAAAATGGGGACCATTTTCATGGGAAGGGGAGGTGTAAGGCATATCCGACTTTAACTATAAATTAATTATTTACCATTTATTCTTACTCATTTTTATCTTTATTACAATTGTATTTTCCCATGTATATTTTATGTCCCAATCACTTATATAAATCCATTTCTCCAACCTTACAATGATCAGTTATGCATGCTTACTTTTCTGGTTGCTTTTTCCCTTTTATCACAACTTTATGTTTGTTTTTATAAATGAAATAAATATTATGAATGGATCGCGTACTTATTATTATTTAGGGAGCAGGGCCCGCTTTCCTGGGTAATAGTATTTACATTTATTATTTTTAATAAATAAATTTTTTGTTGTTAGATTTATCTAACCAATAAATCCTTTTAGTAACTTGGATCATACCAGTTATGTAATACGGGGAGTATCAACCGGAGAAAACCCCTGAATTATACGTTGGGATCCGGAATAACCAAACTTTATGTAAGATCAAATCGTTTCATCGATTGTCAATAAGATCCAATCGTGTCATCGATTGTCAAAGCCGTCGAGCTTAAGTGAAGACCTATGGAGCGTAGGCGAGGCGCTTGTGAAAAACCCCGCGCTCGCGCAGGGTTTTGCGGCATACGTCTCGTGGGAGTCGATGAACTCATAAAGTCAAGTAGAACCAAAACAAAAAATAAAAAAAATCGAAAAAATTTTTTCAAGAATGAAAAATCAGAAGAGAAAAAATTCACTTAAATATAAAATTTAAAATCTGCAATCAAAATCTTTTATCAAAGTTAAATTGAAAAAATTTATAGAAATCAAATAAATGAAAAAAATATACTGAAAAATAAAAGAAAATAAGTAAGAAAAGATATTGGCAAAAATAAAAATTATGAAAAAATTTATAAAAAATAAGAAAAAATTTTTTAAAAATGAAAAAACAGAAGAGAAAAAATTCACTTAAATATAAATATCAAAATTTGTAATCAAAATCTTTTATCTCTTTTCTTGAGATTTTCTTAGACTTTATAAGCTCGTACCAAAATTCGTACTCGTACTCAGGTACGTAATACGAGTACGAGGTCCTCGCGACTAAAATTTTAAAGCACAATATTCCGTTTTTTTCACTTTGAGTCGAAATTTCAAAAAATAGAGAACAACTTTCCGAAGAAGCATTTTTAGAACATTTTTGAAAAACCTAAACCGAGTGACCTACATATTTTAAACAATATATATATCTTATATTTCTATATTTTCTTTAGATCCCTTTTACAGAACCCTCTCGAATAGGTTACTGATATTTAACAGAAAGTGCGGACAAACTTTTCTGATATAAGTAGTTACCCCCCCCCCCCCATTTGTTGCACAGGTGTGCAACAAATGGGAGGCGGAATTTTGAAACATCAAAGGGAAACCCAAGGGTGTAGGGGGTTTCCCGGACCCATCCTCATTAATTTGGCGGCAAGATCAAGGGAAACCAAAGGGTGTGGGGCAATTACTCATCCCATTTGTCCGAGTTTGTCGGCACGATCAAAGGGAAACCAGGGGGTTTGGGGCAATTACTCATCCCATTTGTCCGAGTTGTCAATTTTGATTGATAGGACACGATACCACCCAAATGTTGCACAACGTGCAACATTTGGGTGGGTGAACGGTAAACAAAGGAAACCAAAGGGTGTGGGTTGGTTAGAGATTTGATTGACAGGTACAAGTACAAGGTACTTGTACCTTGTACTTGTACAAGGTACAAGTGTTTGATTGATGGGTGACAGGTGATTAATTATATTGATTACCTGTACAAGGTTTCAGCTCCAGACTGAAAGTCTGGGACTGAAACCTGGAATTTCAGTCTGGGACTGAAACCTGGATTTCAGTCTGGGACTGAAATATTTTGGGGTCCGGGATACGGTAAAATTAATAAAAATAAATTAAATAAAAAATAAATTAAATAAATTAAATAAAAAATAGGGAGAGATAAAATTTACAAAATTTTAAAAAAATATTAAAATGATTTGCAAAAAAGGGCGGAAGTCAGAATGTAAGGGGGAGGTAACCAATTATTTCAAATTCTCAAGATCTTATCTAATTGATTGATGATTAATGAGTCTAGGGCTGGGATATTTGAGTCTGAGATTTTCAGTCTGGGACTGAAATTTTTGAGTCTGGGAATTCCAGTCTGGGACTGAAATATTTGGGTATGGGAATTTCAGTCTGTACTGAAAATTTGCTGGGGGCAGGGGTCCGGGATACGGTAAAATTAATAAAAATAAATTAAATAAAAAATAAATTTAATAAAAAATAGGGAGAGATAAAATTTACAGAATTTTACAAAAAAATTAAAATGATTTGCAAAAAAGGGTGGAAGTCAAAATGTAAGGGGGAGGTAAACAATTATTTCAAATTCTCAAGATCTTATCTAATTGATCGATGATTAATGAGTTTTTGAGGCATCAAATTTTGAAACCGACAGATTTTGGTAATTTAAAAATGACCTTGAAGGTTACGAAATAAGGAAAAGGTAACTTATTAAAAAATTTTTACCTTTATCTCAAGATCTTATCTAATTGATTGATGATTAATGAGTTTTTGGGCAGTCACATTTTGAGCGGGCAAAAAATTTTGTCAATATAAACGACCTTGAATGTTATCAAATAAGGTAAAAGTAACTTATTTTAAATTTTTCCCTCTTATCGTAAGATCTTATCTTCTGTCTGACTGATAATTAATGAGTTTAGAGTGAGTAAATTTTACCAATATCCGCATCACATGACCTTGACAAAAATATTTCGTAATCGCCAATCCGTCTGAAACGAGGAGTATAAAAGGCGAAGAATTTTGTCATTCTTAACCATTTGACTTCAAAAACAAAAACAAAACGCTCTCTTCAATTAAAAAATTAAAAACCAAAAATGGCATTTAATAACGGACAAACCGCACCTTCTGCCAATAAGCGCGCTAGATTCCTCATTCGCGATATCGTTCCTCATTTATTCAACGACGCGCAAAGCGGTGCGGGTGCAAATACCCCGAAAAATTATTACCGACAAATCGATTATGAGACTGACTACAGCAGCAAATTTAAAATGATGAAAACAACTGGAAAATTTATAATAGAAAAAATACCTGGGAATCCGGAGGAGTTGCTTCGAGAAATAATACAACAATGCATGGACAAGACAATTGAAGAAGCAAAAAATAAATCAATAGAACCTGAATGCATGGGGGCATTAATTTCATCACAATTATTAGACAACGACATCTGGATTCCTATAAGAAAAATTGAAGCGGACACCATAGACAATATTCTTAATCGTTTCCAGCTTGTAGCCCAATCGAAGATAGAAAAAGGATCCCTTATTGGTCAACCTTTCACCATAGCAATTCAAACACTTGGAATCTCCTCTCTTCCGAGAACAAAATCAATTAGAGGCCGCGCACCGCAAGCAACAACAAGTAATTTAGAAAATAGCTCCTGTCTAATAAAAATCGATAACCCCAACAACTTATGCCTCTTCTATGCACTGGAAATAACAAGAAAATATTTTACCAAAGAATTGGGTGCGCGTTGGAATTTTACAAGATACATGCAAAATAAAAAGAGGCAAATGGAAGATGTTTTTGAACTTTTGAATACAGCAAGAATTCCCCAAAACCTACTCGAATATGATGCTGTGGAATTTGTTCCAACTGTTGTAGATTTTTGGAACAACAAATATAATGATGCTGGGTTCAAGTTCAAGGTATTTATATTTGGAAACGACAACGAAAAGCCAAAATTTACTTATGGAAATGAAAATTTCAACATACCTATTACAATTCTTCACACAAACAATCATTTTGACGGAATCAAGAATGTTGGAGGAATGTTTGGATTGAGGGTAAAATATTGTTTTACATGTGAAAAAAAGTTTAGGAAATCGAAGGAACATGATTTGAGATGCAAATCTCTCTGCAGGTTTTGTGGGCGCATTGGCAGTGACCGACCTTGTGTTGCAACGGGAGACTTTTTCAAAAAATGTGATGAATGTGGGAAAAAATATTTAAATGAAGACTGCTTCAACCATCACAAAAAAAGCAGCAATTGCCGCCAAACAAAGCAGTGTGAGAAATGTGGAGTCATCTGGACAATGAAAAATTACAAGAGAGAGGGTGAAAAGAAACATGTTTGTGGTCAAAAGTGGTGTCAGATTTGTCGGCAATTTCAC